CAAGCCAAGCCCTGCCTTAAAACCCGTTGAAATAATTGTAGACGAGGGGTTGCAACCTTCGGACACAAAGTGAATGCCTCCTCAGTAACTCCGGATAGCTGTTCTATACTAAAGGATGTACCTCGGTGACTAAGAGACAGATGAGATGTGCAAGATACCAACGACCTGTTCCAACCATGGGTGGTTTCTACAAATTGGAGGACTAAGTGTTCGTATTGAGTTCATGTTGGGACTTCAAAGTGGTTGCATTGGACGTTCTACAGCTAATACCGAAGAATCCAGAGAGACGGTTGATGGGAATGGGAATGTCGAAAAGTGGTGCCAGTGGCTGTTTCAGAAGAGGTCAGGCCGGCGGAAAATTGTTCAAGGGTTGACAGAGCACGGGAAAAGTTGGCGATGTGACAGAGGCGCGGACGACGAAGCAAACATAAACAGGGGGTTCGGATGCAACACCTTGAGGATAATAAGGGTGTGCTGGAGGGTCGATCCTCTTATCGACATCTCCTTTCCTTGTTCTGCTTTTCGCATGGAGCCAGCACGCCAAGGCACCCTGCGATGGGAACCACCCAGATAGTCAACACCCGATTAGACCCAGGTCGTATTAGCGGTTTTCGCCCTGAGGCTGGCATGGGATTGATTCGATGGCGATTGTCAACTCAACCAGGGAGGGTGTGGGTTGGACTCGAGCTGGTAGGATTGCGAAGAGAGAGAGAGCCGAAAACCACACGTAGTATTACTAGGCAAGGATCGATTGAATGAGGTTCAATGTTCTCAATCAAGCTTCTATCATGTGGATAGTGTGGAGACACGGGAGTGTGGATTGATAGGAATCGAGTTGTAGTGTATGTCGTATTCGCAAGGCTCCCTTGATACTTCGTACCTCTGGTATCTCTGTAATTGTGAGCAGGGGCGACAGGTCTCCACCTGCCACTTGCACAGTCACTGTCAAATGAGGACCCGTTCAACGTTAATACTGGAGAAGCCGTTGCGGGTGGTGCACACCAATTTCAGGCTTAGACGGACATACATATCCACACACCATAATCCCGGACAGCCTCTATTATGATCTTGGCACACGAGTATTCCTGTCAGACAAGGACGAGGTGACGAGATGCCTGCCGGCAATCTTCCCCGCCAAGCGCGCGGGCCACCTTTGCCCCCGTCTTCTGCTATCCATACCTCGGAAGATCCAATGAGATCGCCTCATGTCCCATCTCCAAGGACAAAGGGCAACCGTCGCGGTCCTCTTCGTGTAACCTGGCGTAAGTGTGTGTTGCACCAAGTGTGCCTTTGATTCTACCTCGGTACACGTTTACTGTATTGCCTGCCTCAGCGAGGGAATGCCCCTTGTGTGTACATCGGTGATGCCGGGATGCTAGGGGTAACTCCACAAGATTGCCAATGTGGATTTCACGGCGACCTGTGACCACATACGGTCTACGTGTCCAGCGACGAAGTAATAGCCCATTCGTGCTCCCTAAACAAAATACAAGGTGAGGGTATTTGGGTTATCTCACGAGCCAAGGTGAAACAGCTACGTGTGTAACATCAGTGCACAATCCGGGTTTGGAGCGGAGGTGGCGTCCTGTTGGCTGAAGCCATCGGGCATCCATAGCCGTTAGTTGAATGGACCCGAAGACGCAGCTCATAAACGTTCATTCTAAAATGGGCTGACTCTTCCCCTCCCCTTCTTCCCCTTGATGGAGATCTCTTCCGAAATGACGAGGCTGCCGATGGCGTCTTGGTCCTCGTGTTCGGAGAAAGAGTGGGGCGGGGTCCGACGGGGAAGGGGAAGGGAAGGGAAGGGGAAGTGGCTGCCAACGTTGAAGCGGTCATCGGCCGCACGAGAGCGAATTAAAGGGCTTGGGAGCGACGAGACTAGTGTAGAGCCAAACAAAATCTCCCTTTCGCGGATTTCAATGCTGCTTCCCGATCAGGATTCTCTTTGGAAATCTCAGTGGCCGGAGTTCTCCTTGGCATTTCCGGCGTCGGGAAGCTGTGATGATGCTTCCGAAGTGATGACTGATGGAGCGGGCATTATGCTCGATGGGAGGTGGGCGGGCAGATCTTTGCCAAAACGAAGTTAGCGTGCACCTACTACCGAAGTAGGCAAGTCCAGCATAGAGCATGGATGAGTGGAGTGGAATAAACAATGGATCAATCTCATTGCTTATTCCATGGTCATAAGTAGCCTTTATCACTTTTATTCTCACGTGCACTTCGCTCACAGGCCAGGCTTAGTTCAACCGTGGGGGTTTAATTCATTCAGAGCTTCACACGAAGAAAGAAAGAAAAAAAAAAAGAAAGAAAAAAGCGTCAGACGGCATATTATCTCTCCGAAATAAAAGGGAATGTGCCTTGACGAGTAAAGAAGCCCAGTCCCGTGCAATATTCTTCAAGTAAGGATTTTACAGCTCATTTTATGATCACAAGGCCAAAGACGGCGATTCATCTTGCTCCGAGACTTTCTTTGCCCAATCGAAATTCGTGGAATCGACAATGTGGATTGATCAACTTCCAGGGTTTGAAAGAAAGTGTACCTGCACAAGTCCCAAGTACATGTAGGGTGTGGCAGAGTCGTGGACCTGGTTTGCTGGTGAAGGCACCAGAGAAGAATGTTGCATCCATTGGATCGATGTGGCTTCTGGAAGCTTTCAGTGTTCTCTCTCATTCCTTCAAGGAGTTTGGAGTTATTATTGCAGCACGTCCTGTCCCACCCCCAGGGGCAACCCGCGCCACCCTCCCCCGGTCCCCGGCCCCCGGTCCTGTCGGCCTACATCCGGGTACTCCACCTTGATTCACGCTTCACCCGACCTAGTTGTCCAGGGCTGTCCTTCTTCTTTTTCCGCGTCCTCAGCCCCTTTCCTCACCATCCCAGTAGTTCGGCCTTTGTGTTGTCAATCTCGGATTTGTTTCTCCCCAACAATACCACCGGAGCCTGAGGCTGAAGCTTGCGATTTCGGTAATAGATCATTGACATAAGTAGTGACAGGAAGTGGATAAATCTTAAGGCCCATTAAACAATTGAGGGCTCAACATTGTGCCTCAACGTTGTGCATTATCGAGGCGGGTGGTGGGGCTGCGCTGTGCTGTGCTGTGGCAGGTCAAGCTTGAGGCGTCGTGCGGTCTTCACACGCATTCATCTCCCCGACACACTAACTTCGATTGCCATTATTTTGGGCACCGATATCGTCCGGGCCAATTGGGACCCCTTCCTTTTACGCGATTCCAATATCCCACTCGAGGAAGTTTCTGGCGGGGATTGAGCGTGGCGTACTCGGTCGGTAGATGCCACCACGTTCCCACAGGCTCAAGTCGAATTCTAGTGTAGGCTCTCGTTAAGCTAGCCGAGGGGCGCAAAAAGAAAGCCACCCGCTCCCCAAAGGTCGGGGAAACAAGGACGATCATCCGGCATGCAGCGGATGCAAACACATGTCTTCCCTAACTCTTGGGGAGATTGTGAAGTGGCGGGTGAGGATGTAGGGCAACAAACGACAAAAGTTATGCAGGGGTTGATGGGCCGCCAGAGAATCATGGACCTCATAAAGTGAGGCAGCTAACGAGTCATCGTCCGTGAGGAAAATTCGCTCGATTCTAGCGTACACTACACTAGATATGATCCTACATGTATGGTAGGGTCTAAACGGCACCAATACTGACCTCTCCAATGCCGTCCAAGGTTAGGCAACAGACCACCGTTTAATTCTCAAGAAAGCTAAAGTGATTTCGCCACGGCAGGGCTGGCGTTTCCAGCCCCAAATTCTAGTATCATCCCGGCATCCCCGTCCTTGTTCAGCGCGTCAAGTGATTTTGCACATGATTTGATGAGCTCAAGCCGCGTCTTTAATTCCAGGATCGAGGAGATCGACGGAAAGGCTGTTGCTAGCGGGTGAGAGCAGGGGAGAGCAGGGGAGGGAAGCCAGGGGAAGAGGGAAAGGGGGGTGGCTCAATTCATAACAAGGGGATTGCCGAGTTATGCAAGCCATAGCGGTCAGCCCATGGGCCTGACCTGTCAAAAGAAAATATTAAAAGACCAAAAAAAAAAAAAAACCGGAGGCACGGGTTGTCTTGTGGCTCTACACACCATGTCCTCAAATCTCGGCGAGAAGCCATTCTTCTGCTCTGAACGTGAGCACGCGCCATCCGTGGGACTGGGTGTGGGCAGCAGTCAAGAAATCCTACACGTAGTATTAACATTGATTCGTTCATCCCAGCAGTCAGTGTACACGTCATCCTACCGTGTGCTCGAATCCTGCTCCCACCACATTTCCTGCCTAGCGAGCACAATGGAGGAGCGGACCCCTTTTCAGCGCAGGAGAGCATCAACGGCGCTTGTGGAACCTTGTTGTTCCTGCGAAGGACCTGAAGTCCTGCCGGGTTAGGGAAAGGCACTGATGGGCAGTATGACCACGGGTGCCCAGTTATGTTGTGGAACATCAACATCAATACCCACCCCACGTCTTTTCTCCTCGATACCCCCTCCGTCGCTAAGGTTCCTCCCTTTGCCTTTTTGCTTTTTCTTGTTTCCATTCCCGTCTCCTCCTCTAACCCGTGCTCCCCGTGACATGTTGTTCGCTGCACTCTTCGGCCCCCAACCGGTGTTTGCATCAGGCGGGCCTTGCCTAAGCGGCGCAAGATGCAAGATAAGAGACACGGCAAAGAGTGAAACAAACATGGCCCGGGGGCAGCTCGGGGATGTATCCTGTTGCCACCCGGAGCGAATCAAGCTCCCCGAACTTTGTGTATTTCTCTCTCGACATCAATGACATAGCGGAGCGATGGAGACTGCACCGGCATCTTCATCAGGCCTCGCCCTTTCGGTACCATGGTGGGTCCTAGGACAGGGCACAGCACGTCATGTCACACACACTCAATCCGTGGCGAACCCCGTCATTTGACATTGCTGCCGCCTTTGTTCAGGCACTTAATCTATTTTCTCCGCCTCACAGGGCTTGCTCTTTACCTCGAGCCTCAGGGAGGAATTACCTCGTGCTGTCTACTCATGTCACTGGCTCAAATTTGCCCGTTTTTTGATACTTGTCCCACATGCGCAGAAGACGCACCTCATCTGCCAGGGCCTCCATATTCCCAAATGACACAATTGGCTTTCGCTCTTCCGGGACACTGTCCCACGCCGAGCATTGGGGTTCCTTCGCCTCGCCAACCACGGCCTCATTCTCGGTGAGCTTGACGGGCACGAGGTCAAGGTTGTTTCTGTAGTTTTCGCCATCTGCTACTTCCTGAATCCAATTGAGAATGTGTTCATTGGCCCGGGGCAGGATGCACTCAATAAAGTAGTGCTCCCCGCTGCTGTAAACTGGGCATCCGAGTGCTGTGTGACCTGGGTAATCCTTATTTCCGCGATGCGTGGAGAGTAAGGCGCCTGTCGCTACCGAAGACTCGACGAGATACACTCGAGCTCGCTTGCCTCAACTCGTTAGAAACTTTCTAGTTCAAATCAGCTCGTAACTAGTATGACATACCTCCTCCAAGAACTTCTTGAGCCCGTCACACCGTAACATGTCCACATGGTAACTCGGACCGAGCAGAGCCAGAGAATGAAGGCGGGGTCCATGGATGGCCCAGGAAAAGCCTTGGTCTAGGAAAGAGACCACAGCATCCCCACCGTCGCCGATTCCGATGATATCGATCTTGGCGATAGGACTCACGACAGCCTTGAAAACCTCGTCAAACATGTACCTAACATGGCGGTAATGGTCTTCGTTCCCCGGTACCGAGTTGACTTGCGGCCGGTGAACTCGTTCAGTTTGTACCATACTCGGTGCCGGGATCGCTAGCCACCGGCCCAGCTCAATGCTCCTTTTCCCTTCGGGCCACCAAAAGTCTGGCCCATGTTAGCCAAGATGATGCCTGGCGAGCTTTTATCCTCCCCAGAGCAGCGCTGCTCCTTGATCTTGCGTAAAGCCGGCACGACGCTGCCCTTGTCAACGCCACCTCGGCCATTGATGATTCGGAGGGCCAGCGTGCCGAGCATTTGGCTGGTCTCGCCAAAGATGACGACCACCCGACTCTTCTCCCTGATGTCGGGGCTCAAGAAAATGTCAACATGCGGCTGATCGCTCTGGATGCCTAAAGGAAGTCTAAGCTTTTGTAGCCCCTCCGCCTCGATGCGAGCATGGATGATGCCCTCAATAGCGCCTACGATCTCTCCGGCGTTAGCCGTGAAAGACCAAGCATGTCGTAGCGTTACGAGAATGTCAAGGATAGAGGGAGTTTATACTGTTGAAGCAGAACTTCTGCCGGTCATTGACGCGATCAAGAATATCAATATGATATCTAAAGTACGTATCAGGCTGGTTAAGACTTCGAATTTCATCGACCTCGTTGATGAAGTAGCTGGGAGTTTGTGGCCATTAAGCATCAGCACATTCCCCTACACAGGCTGAAGCAAGACAAGATGCGGGAGGAAAATTACTTACCCCAATCCTTTTAGGTCGCAAGGAAACTCGGCGTCCGTTGGAAGCGCCGTCCATGGTCGATAAAACATGGTCGAAGAGACCCTTGGATCGTGATGGCAACGCGATATAACCACACGTGAACCAAGCTCCTGGCTACTTTTTAATGGAATTGTTCAATAGGCCAAGGGATCACAGGAGGCTATAGCTAGGCAGCGGTTAGAGGAATTGTCGATTCGGGGGCGGAGGTTGGTGCTGGGAAAAGAAAAGAAATCTTCCTGGAAGAATGGAGAAGAACGCATGAATCAGAATTCCCTTAAATACAGATTTCGTTTGTGGTCTTATGTATCAATTGTTCTAGCAAACAAGAGTCGCACCTTCCATGCGCAATCGCCGCATCGGACTGAGCTTTTTCGGAAGAGATCGCTGGCCAGTTTCGCGTCGAGCAAACCGGGCTTGGAATTATAGCTCAACCATTATGCAATCGACTTTATAAACCCACAGATAGATCACAATATTTGCTAAAAGACTACAGAGTGTACTGTTTTACGGGTTACGTTGGCGGCGATGAAGTTTATTGCAACTAAAATTATTACGGCCACCAGTTCATCGATCTGAGGTGGCCGACTTCTGGATAGATACGTGGAATAGGGGAATGAAGTGGGATGAAGGAAAGGGTGGAAAGAGGTGAGAGTCCTAGATCAAAGGATCCCACCCTGGTAAATCAAAGATAGGTTCGAAATTACAGAAGCGTCAATCGACCAGTGAAGGCCCTAGCAAGGTCGACATGCTATTGATAAAACGCCGACATCTCCATTTCTTGAAACGAGATGTGCCAAACCGCTTCCCTTCCACGGTCATATAAACAGGGGTTACGTGGTGATACAGACGACTCAATTCCCTTTCTAGGGACAAACCTTCTGCTAATAGATTGCGCGATGCTCAAGCGACTCCCAATTGCGCCGTCCTGAATTCCAGCCGCCAAGGCCTCCGCCATCGCGGATTGTGTAACGGACGAATCTAACGAGACAGAGTTAGTAAACGAAAACTGCGTATCCGCAAGCATAGCATATACACAAAAGAAACCTACCATCAAGATCGCTAAAACTACTCCCCATGCTAGGAGTCCCTTCGCTACCCTCTCTTGATGTCTCCTTGCCCTTCCCTGAGCCACTGCGCCCCGAGAGTTGGGCAGCTCGAGGAGAGAGGGGACCGGACCCCGCACGACCACTTGTCTTGATAGCTCTCGGGACGATTGCCGCCGAGCCCGTCGACGAATCAGAAGTCTGAGAGCGATGAAGTCTTTGCTTTCCGAAGCTCTTCTGCTTTCCGTCCCCTCTTAGGGTAGACCCTAGGTCGGAAGAATCTTGTTGGTAGCCACCAAACGCAGGCTCAACGTCTTCCTCATCATCCCCGTAGGACGAAGGGTCGTCTTGCGTTGAAAATCGAGGAGGTCGGCGGATGATGCGCGACTGCGCGGGGCTGGAGCCATCCGAGTCGTCGGAGCTCGTGTCGGCAGGCCCCGGAGAGGGGGTTCGGGGTGCCATGGGTAAAGAGGAGATTCGGCGTCGTTGCCCGAGAGCTTCTCCGGGCCTGAGGACCTCTTTTCCCGGCCGTGGTGTCGAGCCGCCGCCTAGATTGTGTTGGAACGAGGGGGTGTTGCCGGAAGGGTTTCGAGAAATGTTGGGGCGATACGACGTGTCCACGGGCGTCCCTAACCCTCCGGTCGCTTCGGTTTTCGGGAAAGGGGAGTCGCGCCTCAAGGAAAGGGCTGAAATGGTTCTCTGGTGGCCGGCGGGAAACTCGGTGCCCGGAATGGGGGATGGGGCTGCAGAGCCCTTGACAGCGGCTGCAGCCTTCCGAAGTTCATCTCTCACCTGAGAGGCATGCTGCTCGGTTAGGTATGCTACCTGCCGGATGAGAAAGTCTACCGTGACTTCGAAGCGAGACGCTCTAGAGATTAATTAGCAACGTAGAGCATGGTAGAAATGAGGGCATGGCTCTCGGGCCAGGTCTCTAGCACGCACAAGTCGGTCCCTGGCAAGTCATCGTATCTCGTCAGCATGCCCTAGCATAGGAAAACTGCATATAATATTCTTACAGATGATTTGGGTCTTGGCTACTTTCGACAAGATTCTCCATAGCGCCTCATCTTTGCTAGAATCCCAGTTCACCTGGGCTGGTTAGCTACAAGGCTCCAGCGGCGCCGTACTAGGTGGGGCTCAGCGAGCTTACCGGCGGGGATCCACAAAATCCCCTCGAGGAATGGGAACTCGAACAAAGACTCGGTACAGAGGTTCTGGCATAATACCGAGGTCCCTTGGAGATGCTTCTCGAACGAACCTGATTTATTTACCGAGTAGAGATGGTTGAGAGATGGGCATTGAGAAACCGAGCCTGGGAGGGACATCTGATGCAGGTCAGGCCCCAGCCTTTATCGATAAGAGCTGGGTTACATAAGCACATGCGGCTCAAGCAGATGAGGTTGAGTGTGGGTCACCAATGAAAATGAGGATCCCAAGGCACTCAGTTCCCTTCCTTTTGAGCGTTGCTGGGGCAGAATACCTCGAAAAGCGTCTAGGGGCAAAATTTCCAAGGCCAAGAGCTCAGGTCCACAACACCCAATCGTGGCGAACCCCTTCTTCATGACCACGCTCATCAAAAATCGAAGACGGAGTTGATTCATCAAATCTCTATTTTTTCGTAGAGGATCGAGAGAAGATTGCGCCATACACCAGGCGCGCAACAGTTCCTAGGTACTCGTTTCGATCCATCCCTCCTTTACTTCTTCCTTTTTCAGCGATCGAAGACGCGAACATCCGCACCTCGAACAACGACGATGGCGCCTTTAATTCTACACAACGTCCCCGATGACGAGTTATACGTCGGCGACGATGGCATCCAAAGACCATACGCGATGGTGTTCCCACAGTAAGTTCCGGCAGCTAAATCACGATTTTTCTTTTCTTTCCCAGGCCAACACAGCGATCAACGAGACGCTTGCATCTTCATAATGAGGCTGACGACGTGGACAGGCAAGATGGGCATACGGGTAGCACGCGATCGCGACGCGCCGTCGCGGAGACGGGATCCTTCGGAAAGTCGACAAGGCGAGCGAGATCGAGAACGGGGACGCCTGCTAAGAGAGATAATCCCACACTCGCAGCGGCCGACAAGGTCTTCGGAGAGTGGATAACGAATCAAACGGCGGCGCCCCCGACCAGCGCGACGGCGACGACTCCGGCCGCAAGGCGGCGTCGATGATGAATGCCGGGCTGGAAGAGGACCAGGCCGCCCAAAGCCGCCTCGTCAAGAAGGAGCCGACCGAAATAATTCTTCGGGGATATAGGAATTCGGACCAACAATACGCCGCTTTAAATCACTACGAGCAACTCGCGGGACGCATTTGCGAAGACTACCCTCGGCAGCCTCCACTAGACCGTACAAGATACAAGTCAGAATTGAGGGACCCTGCGTTCCTTCGCCAAAAGCCCCTGACGCCCGAAGAGAGGGCCAAGGTCAACATGGCGGCCGGAGGCGAGCACTGGGTCAAGGTCACGTTTGAGTCTGCCGACGCTGCGGAAGCCGCTCTCTACGCGTCGCCCCAAAGCATCCTGGGCCATATCGTCCACGCGGAGGCCTACCACGGCCACCCGCCGCAACGCGACGAGGCCGTTCCCGATCTCGAGAGCCTCGACGACCACCCAAGAGCCAAGTCTGTTCCCGGCGCTGCTCGACAAGGGCCCGGCCGCGAGCGCCACGATAAGAGGGCGGCGTCCGTCGTCGCCGATCCATTTGCGGAACCCTTCTCGAACCCGTTCGCCGACACCGCATCCCCCGACTCCCGCGTATCATCCTACACTCTCGACTCCAACACGCTCTCTTCCGCCACCGTCACCGACTCCCGTTTTTCCCACTCCACGGCGATGGCGGACCGCCCCGCCGACAGCGTATTTTGCAGGAAGATCCCCACCGCGCGCAGGGCTACCCTCCTCCCGGCCGAACAAGCGCTCCTCCCACAACAATCTTTTACTCAGCGCATCGTCAATGCCATTCCCTTCCTCAAGTGGTTTAGCGGCTCCATGATAGGAAACGAGGTGCCCAGGACCGAGCTCGGCGACTTTGATTGGAACCGGGCCAGCTTGTACTGGAAGTTCATATGGTGGCTCGATGCCACCTTTAACCTCTTTGGCGGAGAGATCCTGACGGCGGACAAGGAAGACTAACGAGGGGAATTTGAAGGCCTTGTGGCGAGACTTTACCACACACACACATCCAAGCACTACAGTGCACTCTCACAAATGATGCACCTCTCATTCCCTTTTCCTGTCTCTTTTCCTCGGTTTCATTGAGCTCTAATCGTGTCAGCATGACGTTAGAAACTGCATAGATGCACTTAAACTTCAAAGTGGCCTTTCCCTTTTTTGTTCTACACATTTTTTTCCTTCCGAGAATTTACTCGAATGGGTACTAGCAAAACGGGGGCTTGGGAACGGTGTATATTTTCTTCCAGGGCGGCATTTACCCTCTTGCGGAGTTTTGTGTATCAAGCTATACACTTTTTCACATTGTGCTAGTGGGAGAAAAAGTGAAGCAGCCAAACAGATTAATAATGGATGGTTTCAATGTTCATGGACACCTCGACCCTTATCTCTCCTTTCCCCGGCTCCACCTCCCAACATGTGTTTCCGTGCGAGGCGCGCTTATGGGTTTGTGTCCACGTGCATGGGATGCTAGAATACATTCGGTCCCCTTCAACGTAGATGGCATTGGGTATTACATGCAGGCTCTCCTGACTAGGCCACATAAAAATTTGGAAAAGATCCGATCCGACAGTTGGGTTCCATCATTTCGGAATGGAAGATACAATATAAAAGAATATACAAGCCTCCGCGTTCCCCTTAAACGCCTGTATTATGATGAGAGCCCCGCAGTTCAAAAGAAAAGGATCTACCAACGGTAGAAGGACAAAAGACGAATAATAGGGAAACTCGGATAAATAAAACCCGCCCTATTAAGTTTCAAAACGGAAAGAAAGACAAGTGGCTCCAATCAAGTCGGTGCTTGCCGGTGTTGAACAATGGCAGCCTCTGTCTCGGTTAGTCCTCTCGGGACTACTTGGTCTCATCACGGACATCTGTCCAACTCCTTCCACGATCATCATCCTCGGGCGAGCTTTTGTCCACCGAGCTTTCGTCGCGGGAGGAGGCGCCTCGCTCGTCCCTCCAAGGGTGGTGCTCATCGCTTTCGTCAACGCAGGGTAAGTCCGTCTCGACGGTGGGCAGCCGAAACTCGGACTGACGAGCAGCCCCATCTGCGTCGCTGTCGCCATCGCCGTCGCCATTCTCGTCATCTTCATTGGGGCTGAGCATGCCCGAGGGATCGCCGGCGCAGAGGCTATCAAAGGTCACGCCCGTCGTAGTTCTCCTTATCGGTTGAGGGGAAAAGGGCCGCACACCCCTGGAACGGTTGAAGTCGGAAAAGATGCTGTCAGAGTCAGATGGCCGGGGAGGAGGAGGGCCACCACCTTCCGTACTAGCAACGCCAGCCAGGCTCTGGTAGCGCTCACCGTCTCCCAGGGCATCCGAGCGATGACTATTAGCGCGGCCGGAATCTGAGCCGGAGTCGGCAAGGATGCTCTTAGGCGGAAGGATGCTGAAAAGCTTGGAGCCCTCGCCTCCCGGATTTCCCTGAGCGGGAAGCTCGTCGGGGGCAAACAGGTCAGTACCCTTTTCAAGGAGGTCGTCGAGACCGCCACCAGTCCAACCCTTACGGGCGAGGGACTCAAAGATGTCAACCTCGGCGCGAACAAGGCTACAGGACGCATCCAAGATTTTGTTGCTGGTCTCTTGGCTATCACGCAGGAGGGTGAGAGAGTGGTCGGCGTGTAGACTAGTTAGGCCATCAAGCTTGGTGGTTAGTTGGACCAGGTGGGCCCTAAACTTGGCTACATCGCGGCGCTTCTGCTTGTGGAGCTTTAACCCGTCCTTCTCCAGCTTGCGTATCTCCTTGCTCTGCGTCTTGACGGCCCTCTGGTAGCTCTCTTCCTCGTCGTCGACATCGTTCTGCCACTTATCTAGCTCGTGAAGCAAGGGCACCTCGAAGTTGCGGTAGACAGTTTCGCTCAGGATCTGGTGGTGATTCGCGATGAGGTGATGCACGCCCGAGGCGCCGATGAGCAGATCCGCCGTGCAGGTTCCCTTGGCCGTGAAGCTGGTGCTCAGCGAAGCTGCCGCGGCGGGGCCGATGGCGTCGGAGCGAGCCTCTTTTAACCGCGCGCACGATTCGAGGGCGGATCCAAAGGCGGAGGCGGCGGAGGAGAGGGTGGCGAGGGCGATCCGATAGGACTTTGCTGTCGCGATAAGGGCGGAATAGGCCTCCTGAGATTGCCCCAGGTCGGCTTTCGTGAGAACGGCATGGGCAGGTCGAGGAGGTGGGGGAGAGGCAGGTTGAAGCCAGCGAGAGGGTTCGCAGTCGAGGCGAGGGAATATGTGGGCGAGCTAGGGACGGGCGGGAGCTGCGACGGCGATGGCGATGGCGGCCGATGGTGGGCTGCGGTGGTGGCAGCCATTTTCTTCTCCCTTTCTTCTGTTTGTTCCGCCCCCTTGGCCAAGATTTGTAGAGTTTGAGGAGGTTACGACTTTGGCTCTGGACGAGGCTGTTGGGGATGGATGTTTTGTTTACGATGGCAACGAGGGGAAAGACAGGGGTCAATTTGGTGATGTGGTGAACTGGGGTGGATTCTACGAGTGGAGCAGGAACTAGGCGATAATCGGACCCGAGGTCAGGACCTCTTCCTAGCCGTCTGTTAATATTCAAGAGGAAAAGACGGCAAAATGGAAAATAGAAGGAGAGAGAAAAAGTCGTTGGGGATGCGGGGCCCGCGCGGGAAAAAAAGTTTGTCAAAATTCCGGGATAGATTTCGAAATAATTGTACCCGGGAGGATCTGGAGGCGACGGGCTTGGAGAGGGTAGAGTGGGAATTACGTGCAGTTGGAGGGTCCTATCCGTGCACGCTGGCGCATACAGCGGCAGCCAGGCAACGGCAGGAAGTCTTCGAAGCACCTTCTTCGGTTCAATGCTCAGCCAATTCCAGGCTACAGAGGATGGTAGGTGCAGCTTGGCCCTATTGTGCTCAGTGTGAACATTGAATAGAGTGGACCCTGCCCGCTCATTTGGCACATGCGAATGACATTCATCAGCACAAAAGCAGGGGTTCAGTGCGTCACAAGCCCAGTTCCATAGTTTAGCACCACTAAAGGCGGTGAGATTCGTCAAACTGGCAGAATCCCCGAGGTGCTCTTCAATCAATCTTGGGACTTCCACTTCGGCATTCCTATCACCAGTCCACCACAATTTCCGGTCTCCCAAGGCCAAAAATGGAACTTGAGAATGATCCACCAGGATCCATTCTTCCCACCAAATGCACCTCTAAATCGTGTTTGTTCCTATACACTCTAGGTTATTTTCAAAAGGCTGCTCTTCGGTAGCCTGCGGACCAACCATTTTTCTTGCCTTAGAATTCAGATCTCCGGCAAAGACCTATTACTAGCTTGCCCCCAAGTAGACGCCATCTGCAAGGGCTTCACGCGACCCGATCGAGTGCGCAAACGAGTCCCGCGTGAGAGAAACTTCGCCCCCACGTGCTTCAAAACTGATCCGGTTCCGTGCCTCCAGTGGCCTTTGCTATCTAGCCAGTCTTGCCAGTCCTATGGGAAAGGGTGTAGGGAGCTTGCCTTGATTCCATAAATACCTAGATGGGTATTCTTTATCCCGCATCACTCGTAATTGCAATTATTTCCCCGTGAAGAGGAACGAGAAGCATAAGAGAATCATAGTTGGCAAGACGCACTGATTCTTTCACAGAAAATGACCATGGCTGAAATAAACCTGAACACGCTAGGTATTTCAAATGGGAGGTAAGGCAACCGTCGGGTTCAATTTTCACCAGAATACTCACCAGGCGCAATCGTCAAGCCGAGGAGAGTTTTTCAAATCATCAACCAGGCTCATTACAAATGTAGGGAGCAGGCGTCCTCATTTACAGTGGAGTGAGCATTGGTGGGAGGGAGAGGCTCAGAGCATACATAGATCCATGCACAGCGTGATTGATACATCGCATCGTAGCCGCTTTCTATCCGTCATTGATTCGCAAAGAATAGGTTCGTCTACTAATAATCGATAGATCAATGTGTTTTCAATGTCTCCCTCATGTCTCAGAGCTTAATCCCCCACCTTTGACCTGTGTTATTATAGGGCTGGGCCGAGCACCGAATCTAGTGAAATCTAGTGTACTAGGGCTCTATAGATCCATCAACTCAAATCCCTCGGCATCATCGGAGTTGTCTGGACTTTCGTCAGTAGGGGGACCTTGACAAAGGGGAAGAAGAAAAAGAAGTCTTCCATCTCGAGAACAATCGATTTGGAATTTTCCCGCTTCGGCGGCGCAGTTATCAAGCCATACCCATGCTAGCGCGATCAGTCATCATCCCGGCGGACGAACAGGAAACCCGGAGCCAGCAAAGAGGATACGAAGGTAACGCCGCGGCCTCGGACGACATAAACCTTCCGGGGCTGTTCCTCACTGAAATAACCCGAAACATGCACGTGAAATGAACAGAGCGCCCCACTGCAGTGCACGTTCGGCCATCCCGCCCCACGCTCACAAATGCTTCCCTTCCTTCCTTTGGCCGGCGCCGCACTCGCCTTCAATTCGTCGCATGATGAGGTCATTGCCGGCACACCTTCGTCAATGCTCCCAGCGACCTGAGCCTCGGAGCTTTTTTCGCAGCAAGCACGAGCACCTTCGCAACCCATTCCAATTTTTTTATGTTTAAACTATTACATACCCACCAACGCAAATAATTTGGAATGCTGCCATGTCCGTATAAGGCCATTTCCCCGTTTCTCCCGTGTCGGATTAGAAATGCTTGCAAGGCTGGTGCGCGCCCGGCTGCGCTTGCCTTCTTACAAAAGGTGTGATGTTTCCTTTTTCCCCCTTCCCGCTCTCTTGTGTCCCGATTGCTTCAGGATTCATGAACAAGGCCCATAATAAACTAATATTAACGAACTATCCCTCGTTTTGTTTTCACCCCAACAACAGCCCTCATCTAAGCTCCTCTTACCCTCCTTCATCACAACCTCCACCATCCTCTGCCTCACCCTCACCCAACCCCAAGCTCTCACCATGACGTCCTCCACCCAGCAACAGCAGACGTCCTCCGCCTCCAAAGCCTCGGCCAAACTCATCCCCTCCAACCCTTCCGAAGTCACCGTCATCCGCTCCGTCACGCCCAACATCACCACCGTCTCTCTCCCTTCACCCGCGGCGGCGTCGCCGCCATAGGCGGTCGCGCCACCCTCGTCCGCCTCTCCGACGGCTCTCTCGCCGTCTTCTCCCCGTCGCCCTCACCCCTGCCATCCGGTCCGCCCTCGCCGACCTCGCTCTGCGCCCGGACCCTTCCGTGTCCTACATTATCGCCCCCGACATCGAGCACCACATCTTCATCTCCGACTGGAAGCGCGAGTGGCCTGCCGCCCGTCTGCTCGGCCCCGAGGGCCTCCCCGAAAAACGCGCCCGCTCCGATCCCGAGTTCTCCACCTTTGACGTCGTGTACACCCGCGCCGCCAAAAGGCCGGCGGCAAGGTGCCCGTGGATCAGGCCTTTGACCACGACTTCGAGGTCGAGTACGTTGACGCCCACCCAAACCGTGAGCTTGTCTTCTACTACAAGCCCGACCGCGTGCTCATCCAGGCCGACCTAATGTTCAACCTCCCTGCCACTGAGCAGTACTCTCGTGCCGGCCCCGGCAGCCATGGAAACTCTCTCGTCAACAAAATCTTCGCCGCCATTGGCCGGACCGACGGAGACCTGACCTGGGCGAGAAGGGTCATGTGGTATGCATTTTCAAGAGGGGACCGGGACGGCTTCAATGCAAGCATCCGGCGGATCTCGTCTTGGGATTTCGAGACCATCATACCCTGCCATGGAGATTCCATGATAGGCGATGGTAAGGAGAGGTTTGCACGATTATTCGAGTGGCACCTAGAAGGTGATAAAAAGACGAAATAGACTGTGTGGGCTCTAAACTATTCATCTCTTGTTCTTTCTTTTCCCCCTTTGTATAAATACTCAAGGTGCTGCGAGCGCCAGCAGCACCTAATCATAATATACCTTGCTATCGTCATTCTTCTTCCACTACACGACTTAGCCCCAAGTGATACCCGTTACCCCATAATCGCGTCCCGAGCTTTAGCAGCCTCTTCTTCCATAAAGTCATACACACGGACCTAACCACTACCTCCATCTGCGTCGTCGCTACTAGCTATCTTTCGCCGTCGACTGCTTAAGAATAAATCTACCATTTCCTTGCTCCCCGATGTTGGTGTGCTCGGCGCCCAAACGGAAATTTCCCCTTTGGTTTTTTTCACTCGAGTTCGCGAGTGCTTCACCTCCTGACTTCAACCTATTCAAATGCTCTGTTGTGCTCGACGGTGCATTCGATCTCGGCTCGGGCCGCGGCCTGCGCGCCAGCCGGATCCCTGGCCGCCTCGCTAGTCCGGTACACGGACTTTCATCCGGCCTATATTCCCTTGGACGAGGTAACGATAACATCGACTTGCTGCTGTTCGAATCGCCCGGGATCCGTAGGTTGGAAAAAGAGGATGCTGGTCTCATGCTACTTCTCACCGGCACTACAGGGGCCTGATGATTAGATAGAGCATCGGAATGTGGTGCTGAATTTAGCTCGGGCCTCATATTCTCGTCCCCCGGCCCGGCTCAGGCTTCAAACCCTCCATCTCACCCTGCCGCTGACATATACTGGTATTTCTCGTAGCTGTGGGAGACTCCGTCGAGGCCAACATCGCGCTCGACTCCCCCAGCACCGGGCTTGCCATAATCCCCCAGTCTGAGCTTTCATTCTCCGCCCCTTGTCGAACATGAGTCGTTACTCTTAGGGCTATCGGCGCGTCCTCTTGCGTGGCACATGGGCTCGAAGGGACCAGCCCATATGGCCCTGCATTTCTAGGGCTTGCCATTTTAGACGAAAGCCAGCCCTTCCACTCAATCGAGCTAGTGCTAGAGACGGCCCTGGTTTGCTTTCGGCTAGTGCGGGGGTTGACTCGCTCATATATATTGTAGCAGTGCCGTATGGCGATGGTGGCATTCCGTATGAGGGCGTTACGTTGGGCATCGCTTGCCCATCGTGAAGACTCGAACCAGAGGAGTAGACGCTTGAAGTGTAGCCTTGCATTCCTGCACTAGAACCTTGGCCGCTCGCGCATCTTGGTGGGTAGCTAAGCTTCGACATGAAAGGCGCGTATTCTAGTTCTGCCGCCCAAGAAGTCTCCGCCGCGATCAATGCTTCCTGTAAACTCCGTCTATACGGACTAGCCGTCCTGAATAGGAAGTTGTCTGGACTTCCCAACAAAGTCGCTGGGGCTACAGATGGAGCCTTTGCTGACCGCACTCCGCCGTAGTCCTCTTCACCACACTGCCGATTGAAGAAGCTCGGCTTCTTTGAATCGTCGAGCGCTCACCTAGAAAGGCGCCTTTGCTCTCACAGTGGCCGAAGAAGACATCATCTTCCATATTCACGCAGCGTATTGTTGAGGGCGATTCGTGTTCATTCACTCCTCGCTTTGGTCGGTTATATTGTGCGGTTTTCTCTGGCTGAGATATAAGTGGCCTGTCCGACTCCGCTTGGCTGCGGCCTAGCTTTGTGTCCCGTTTCATAAGCGCCGAATATACCCGGTCACTATCTACAATGCGCCCGGGCCCATCCCCGAGAGGTTGGGGCTTCCGGAGGTGTTACAGAATCTTTGGGAAGTGGGGCGTAGCGCTGGCAGCCCGCCTTCTGTGATCACAGAAAGGCGCCGGCTTTGTAGTTCTAGCATGGAATCAGATGCCACTCTAGAATCGAGTTCGGGGTTTTGGGTTCTATGGGCATCCGGCCCTCGGCCACTGTGGAAGCTCTCGATGCTGCATTGGCGCGACTTTAACTGGGGATGTGATGGTAGCCGACGAAACGACGGCACGCGTGACGGAACCGTATGGACAGCGGATACGCGCGTATCGTCCGCTTCGGCCGTGGGAGCAATGCTATAATCGCCTGGGTCTCTGGGAGGGGGCAAGTCCACGGTCGCGGTTGCAGGAGTAAATGCTCCACTGTGCTCACTTCTCTTCGTAAAATGCAGAAGCCTTTTCAACTTGTTCTTCCAGCCGATGGAACCACTTCTCGCTTTAGGCCGGAAGGCGCTTCTAGGGACTGATGCATGGCTGCCCGGGACAATGGCCGATGGAACGGAGCTACCGTGACTAGCGCCGCGGCGGGATGCCCATGCCATTGATGATGCATTATCTCGTCCATTCCTCGAGCCGAACAGTCGAGAGCCGTATGACTTCAGGCGTTTCTGTTGTTGAGCTGTCTCCTGAAATATTTCTCGCGCCATCTCCACGGCTTTATCATTCTGCTGCTGAGTGAGGTTACGCCTACTCGACTGTACACGTGGCTGCAGGAAGCTCATCGACTTGGGAGCGCGTAGGAGCCGCCCCCGCTATCGGGACGTGAATTATCTCTCTCTAGTGTAGGTTCCAAAGGCAGAGTATAATAATTAAAGCTTTGATATTCGGACCATGGGGTGTTTTTCATACATGGGGTTTCTGATGAGGAAGAACCCGCCCATGCCCCGGTAGACTTCGCCTTGCGTAGTAATCGATGGGAATGAGGAGATGAAACCGTGGAATTTCTCGAGCTGTGCGGGCACTTCTAGGACCTAAATAAGTGGAGATTGTCCCCCTCTCGTCTATACGCATCCGCTTCGTCACACAGAGAGATTGTTGCATCGGAGGGTTGGGAACACAGAGTGATACCCGTGTTAGAGCACGAAGTCCCGCTGCCGCGCCGGATTAACCTTGGCCGGTAGGTGCGCAGCTCAGGGAGAACCGACTCTGACGTTGGGAATCTCACACTAGAGACATGGCGGAATGGTTCCCGGTGGCCATGGCCGCCCCTCTTACACGCGTAGCTCTCTGCTGTGGACCCTGTGGGTTCCCTCTGGTTAGTTCGCGCAAAGGATACAGCGGCCGCGATGCGAGCATCTCGATAAGAATCATTGGGATCAATATGCTTTAGTTCCCTTTCCGGGCGGTGAACCGATGCCGCAGATTTGCTTCGGACCAAGCCACGCCTTGGTTGAGGATTGCTTCGGTGCCGCATCGACGAGCTCACCAGGGTGTTCCGTTGGGCACGGTATGGGTTCAGAAGGATGACAAAAAAAAAAGAGAAAGTCCCACCCGTTTCCTAAAGAAAAGAAAAGGATCTAGGCCCACTGGGTACGGATAAATAGTGAATAGGAGTGACAATGTCCATGAATATTAGCAGGTTGATAGGCTAGAGTAACCGCGACAATAGTCTCGTTCGCAGGATCACGATGATGGCAATATTCCAAAAGGTCTAGCCTAAGATGTTGTTGCTTTAATGACAATGGAACATGAGACTCAACTTGGACGTGGGGTTCAATCCCAGAAGTATCGGCGGTGGGTAGAGCCAGCAGACTTTCCCTTCCCTTCTCGTCTTGGGTCGCTCATCCCGACGGGCGTCACTGCTTATCCCGGCGTGGATCGCCCCTTCTTAACTTCTAACCCCCTCACCTTAGTGATCCCACCAGACGCTAGTTGACGGTGGCTCAGTGGGCTCCTGCTCCTGTTCTGTGAGAAAAGGAAGAGGGCTGGAGCTATGAAGTGCCGTTTACTACTGGAGACGCGGTGGGGAGACCTGACTTCAAGTTCAAGTAGTGCTGAGGTTCTTCTGTTGGCACTTAGGCGTTCTACAAGGGGGTACCGGAACCGGGTTGAGGAGTTCTTATTGGAAACTTCAATGTCAGCGATGGACAAGGCTGCAATGTGAAGTTGGAGGCATTATCACCAGGGGATCAACCGGAAGAGCTAGGAACGTGGCATGTTCTTTGAAATAAATATGCACCGCATTGTATTGCGCTATCTGAGCAACCTTGAAAATACAACACAAAGTATGCACCAAACCGACCATGAAAACAATAATACCCTAAGACCGGCGTATATCAGACACAGGACATATGAGACCCAAACAAAAGTCAAATCCAGCCATAACAGGCAACAAAGAAAAGGAAGGTAGTATGAATGCCGAGGTATGCATGTGGGGAAGAGAAGCAGGTTGATTAGGCCTCGAGGTTCTTGAGGAACTTGGTAATCTCCTCCTCAACCATGTCGTGAACCTTGGCGCCGAGCTTGTCAGCAATGTGCGCGAATTCCTCAGCACCCTTGGAGACATGGAGGGACAGGTTCTCAATGTCGTCGGAGAGGGTAGAAGCCGACTTGACCTTGTAGCCACCCTGGTCGACGATGCTGGTGTAGTTGCTGCAGCCACCACCGTTCCAGGCGAGCAAGTTGGGGGTGTCCTTGGGGAGATCGGTGAGGGTACCCTCGGTGGCGATCTGGAGAAGGGTAGCCTTCAACTTGGCGGGGGTAAGGGGAGAGTAGAACTCGGATCCAATGGCGGGCTGGAGCGAGAGGTAATAGGCGAGAAGGCCAGCAATGTGGGGCGAGGCCATGGAAGTACCAGAGATGGTGTTGACAGCATACTTGGAGCCGATCCAGGTAGACTGGATGCTGAGGCCGGGGGCGAAGATGTCAGTGCACTTGCCCCAGTTGGAGAAGTAGGCACGGCTGTCATCGAGAGCAGAGGCACCGACAGTGACGGCCTTGTTCGCGGCAGCGGGGAGTAGTTGCAGGCATCAGCGTTGTCGTTGCCAGCAGCGACAGCGAAGTGGATGCCAGCGTCGACGGCAGCATTGACCACGCGGTCGAGGGCCTCGGTCTTGCCACCGCCAAGAGACATGTTCGCCACCGAACCCTTGAAACCCTTGCGCTTGCCCTTCTGGGCGAGCTCAACCTGCTCGAGATGGGCGTTGGCAGCAAACTCGACACCCTTGACTACATCAGACATGGTGCCAGATCCGTTGGACCTGAGGACCTTGACGGCATAGACGTGAGCCTTCTTCGCAACACCGTACTTCTTTCCGGCGACGGTACCAGAGCAGTGAGTACCGTGACCATTGCCATCGATGTCATCGTCGCCAGAGGGGATAGTCTTGCCCCACTTGGCACGGCCCTCGAAGTCGACGTGGTCGATGTTGGTACCGGTATCAATCACATAGGCGTCAACACCCTCACCACCATCGGCAGTATAGAGATACTTGTTGAAGGTGCCGAAAGAGAGAGTATTGCGGTGGGAGATACGAGCAAGACCCCAGGGGGCATTCTTCTCGGTCTCACCATCACACTCATCCTTGGCGGGGACGGGAATCATGGTGTGGACAATGGAGTCCTTCTCAATGAACTCGATCTAAAGAGAGAATTCTCAATCAGTATTTGACATGGAAAGAGGGGGGCCGAAAATCGGAAGTTTGCTTACATCGGGGTGTCGGCGGACTTGCTCGATCACATCCTCGTCGAAATGGCCAGCATAGCCCAAGAAGTCGTCCGAGATCTTGTAGATGTGCTTAATTCCGCTGAAGATATCAGCGCTGCCGCCACTGCGCTTTCGGAGTTCCAACCTCCGCTCCTCGCCGTCGTTGTGAAGGTCCTGGATCCATGAGTGATGGTCCGAGACGGCGGCGGCGGAAACATCCTTCTTGAACTTGATGATGTAGTGACCGGGGATGGTCTCAGCGCTTGTGGAGGAAAGAATAGGCGCAGCTCCGTCATGAACGGTCTCAACGTTCATGGGAGTGGCCGCAGCCAAGGTGGCGAGGAAGATGACGGCGGAGAGCTTCATGATGAAACAAGGCCGGGATGTGATCGGAGTCGGAAAGAGGTTCTTGGGTTGAGTGTCTACCTGCGACTTGCGGCAGCTGGGAATGCCGAAAAGACGAATAAAGAAAAAAGGAAGAAAAAGGAGAACAGAGAAACGAAACAAACGAGGAGGGTTCGATATTTGAGGACGGGAGGAGATGCGAATGGTTGCTTGAGAGGAAGAAGGAGGAGAGATGGAGGATGCTAATTGAACCGAAGGAGGAGTTGGGGGAAGCGTCGGCTAGATAAGCGGCGAGACAAGAGGGACAGTGCAAGCACGGAGTACCCCGTCACCCTCCGATGTTGCCTCATCAGCGTTCGCTGTGACGCATTCTCCGAATCCAGGCAGCCCGTGCTGGGGAGGCTGACCTCTTCGAAAACGGTCTAGCGTCGTGTCTCAGCCAATAACTGTCGCCCCCTGGTTTCCTCGGCGATGCGATACGCGAGAATATTCCTGACCCGAGAGTATCAATGCCTGCCCTCTCATTCTCACAATGATGAAGGCAAGCGGTTTCCTTGTCTTTACGAACGAGGACGAGGAAAAAATTAAGAAATTTTTGAATGACATTTATCGTCAATTTCCCTCTCCATATTCTTCGCCCCCAAAATTCGGCTCTTGCCCTTCCGGAATAAATGCCATGTCTTCGATGGCGAAGAGACTAACGCCACTTGGGGCAGCCCGGCTCCCTCTCCTGAACCTGGGGGCTCTTCATCCATCAGGGTGATTGGTACCTCAACGCCTTTATCGAGGTACACGTGAGCATTGAAGCGGAGCATTGCGGACGCTATCGGGGTGGCACACAGTGGGCGAATTATCGCTAGGAACAATAGGTCGACGTCATGCTAATCGCCTGGGGGAGGGAAGATAACCGGAGCTCTCTATGCAGGTTTGGGCACTGTGTGCTTGTACCCATCACTGTTCCCCCACTTCCCATCTCGCCTGCCTTCCTCAGCCAGGCCATGGGCCCAGATCTCAGGCTGGTTCCCCAGACGGAACGAGATTCTGTACCTGCTGACCACCTGCACGCGTGAACGAATCATTGCTACCCCTGCGCCGCAACAGACAGAGGGAGCTCATTGCCCAGTTCGAGCTGGGAAGCTGGGAAGCTGGGAAGCTGGAAGCTTGAAGAAAGGGGAGTTGGTTCCTCGCCCCGTGAGGTTTGCACGTCCGCGTCAAGCTCTACTATCTCCGAGCTCGGATTGAGCCCGATCTCGCGTGCGTCGTCTGAAAGCGGACAGCGCTATCTCAATTCAGAAAAGCCGTTTTGGTTGGCGCTTTCTTCTTCAGATGCACCTCGCCAAAGTGACTCCCTTCCTCCCCACACCTCCAGAGTCGCCTTTATCGCATTTCAGTTGAGTGGGGAAGCTTGGTAATGTCGGGAGGGGTAAGTAGTACCTGGGGCTCGATGAGCTGGCAATATGAGTGACCGCCCATTGTTGCTTGCTAGACATCTCTGCTCTGCTGGCGTTGCTTTTGTGGCTTCTGTCTGACAGCGAACCTGGAGCTTCTCCTCCACCAAGGTGAAATCGACAGGGTTTTAGGCGTTTTAATACTGGGTTTTGCCCGTTTTTACTTTCTTGGTCGACCGTGTCACAGCACCAGCCAGGGCGTGACAGCCGAACAATCAAGGCGGCGGGCCTGAGGTTCATCCGAAACAAGCAAGGCCGATCATTCGACGACGTCATCAAGTTCAGTGTTCTTCTTGTTGCAGGGACTCCTACTCCCCTGAAGCCGAAGAGCAGCACATTTTGCACCTCTTCGAACTGAATAACGAGCAAGGCTGTCCAATCATTCACGAGTGCTTTCCTTGCCTCGTTCTCCATCTGCCTTCTGCCTTCTCGATCGGGGCCAGCGTGGAGGCAGGAGGAAGGGGAGAAAGCTTGGTTTTGTGCTCAGTGTACCAGGGAATATGTAGGATCAACCAATGGATTTTTTTGCGGTATTCGCGGTATTATGAGCTCAAAGATACCTCGGTATGCATCAAATGAATGGATCCGTGGAGGGATAGGATGGATTTAAACTCCCACAAACCCCCTCAAACGAGAGCAAGTTTGCTTCTCTCAACACTTCAGGCAGGCTGTGATTTCGAGTACCTGTCGGGGCTGTACTCCAACTGGCCCAGCTTCCGCACTGTGGCCTTAAACTGTTGCCTAAACGCTCAATGGCCTCACCAATCCAAGCATCCTTGAGCTCCGTGTGGCGTGGGGTATCAAGTGTGGCTATGCTCAGCAGCGAACGCGGGGCTGGGTTTGAGGATACTCACTGCGGGGCGCCTAACGCTCAGTGCGTTCTCTAGGGATTCGGTCAGCGAATTGAACCAGCAATGGAATGTAGCCAGGCAAGCCAGGGAGGGCAGAATACTATGTGCTAGTGCTACTCGTGCCCCACGGGCAAGGCTGACGCGAAACTGGTGAAATCGGTAGTGGTTATCGTCCTGCTTATCTCATGAGCTCATCTGTCTCTCTCTGTATGGTAACCCTCACAAGCTTCACTCTATTCATACGAAGCATTTTCGAAAAATTCGCGAAGCAATTGACTGCTTCCACTCGACTGCCCTCTCTTTCGTCCAACCCTCCGGAGTTTTCGGACTGAAGGTGGGCCACCCAGAGCTCCAAGGAGCCCCGCTGATCTCAGACATCTCCCGTTCAACACCACCGACGATAGCCTTTGTCGTTCATGATAATCTCACCTTGACACCATTTTGGGGCCCAGAACGGGCAGTCACCGCATGCCGAAACCTGTGATGTAGGAAGGGCCTAGCATCGGCATCGGTAACATGTCTCTTTCAACCGCCCGACACCGATCATCTACCTCTGCGTCTATCCCGGCTGCGAATTCAAAAGCAAGGCAGATTCTTAGTGGCCTCCTCGACAACCTGCTTGAAACCATAGGAGAGCGTTCCACCGATGGATATCCTGACGCTACGGCAATAATCCAATGTCTCACGCCGATCGTACGCCACATAGGAGCCGTTGCACCTCCTAGCTCGGTCCAGGACGACTTTAGACAGCTGCATGGCTTCAATGCCCTGATCGGGGTCCTCAGGGCGTACTCGGGCTATTACGATCCTATCAAAAGGACAGAGAAGGATACAGTCCTCTTGTTCGATCTCCTTGATATTACACTGCGTTGTCTCGACCTTAGTCTTCGAGACCATGCTGGAAGTCGCAGATACTTTAAATACAGAGTTGAGGATGGGGGTGGGAGGCTCTAGAACAGGCCATCGCAAGCATAGGGCTTGGGGGTGATTCAAGCCTCTGGACTATCTGTCGCCTTTTTGGGAAACTCATATCGTTCGCTCTGGGTGAATCCAAGATTGACAAGCTCTGCCAAGCCTATGGGGGCCCCCATGAGACCATTCCTCAAGAGAGTGAAGAGGACAGCGCTCAAGACTCGGAAGGCAGCAGTCAAGATAAGGCTGCCACCGCAAAGTCTAGCCAGGATCTGGCTTCCGTCCCCTCCCAAGTCCGAGAAATTCTTGGCCCTACTACTATGCTCCACAATCCCGAGGTGCTGCGCGTGCTGGTGAGCTTCTGGCTATGGATGCCGAGACCTCCTGGACAAGCGCCTCATCCCTGTTCGCTTATATTCCTGGAGACACTATCGGCCACCGTCTCAGCATCCATCTTTAACCTGAGCGCTGTCCATTCCACGCAGGTACCTTCACAACTGCTCCGGGCCACGTTTGGCAAAACGCCCGGACTGAGCACTTCAGAAAGACATGTCCTCCTTAAACTCTACAAGATGTTCATGTATTTCGGCGTCAATCAACTTGAAGATGCCCAGTTCCTTCTCAGCTCCGACTCTCCAGAGACATCCGAGTTTTGTAGAGATATGGTGGCTCAATATCATGGCCCACCTTTCTTCCACTTCGACCTCTCCCTTCACGGGCACTCTTCCCTCGAGGTATCAACTCTGGGCCGTCCGTTTCCTCCCCAGTCATCAGCGGGATACACTTTCGCTGCATGGGTTCGCATTGATCGATTTGACCCCACAGCTCACACGACCATATTTGGCGTTTTTGACAAGACCCAGACCTGCTTCTTATTGATGTATCTGGAGCGAGATACCCGCAACTTCATTCTACAAACCTCCGTGACATCTCAGAAGCCGAGCGTTCGGTTCAAGTCTATCGTTTTTGCCGAGAAGCGTTGGTACCACATCGCTCTCGTCCACCGACGGCCTAGGACAATCACGGCTAGTAAGGCCTCCCTCTATGTAAACGGCGAATTTGTCGAGCAGGTGAAATGCGGCTATCCGAGCCCCCTCCGATATCTAACATGAGCACCGAGAGCTTTTCGTCCTTTGCCTCAACAAACATTCGCCTGAGCCCCGTTCAAGCCTTTATTGGAACTCCTCGCGATCTCTCTACCCAACTTGGTTCAGGTCTTGTTTTTCCAAATGGTCGCTAGCATCCGCCCATCTCTTTGAAGAAGTATTGAGCGATGATTTTCTCGCCGTTCACTTCCGGCTGGGTCCGAGATACCAAGGAAACTTTCAAGACAGCCTAGGAGGATTCCAAACCTACGAAGCCTCTGCGGCACTCGGTTTGCGCAACGAGCTCTTTCATCCAGGGAAGGATGATACATCTGATATCATCAAGGCTATTCGTGAGAAGGCATCCTCTCTTCTTTCCGAATCCAAGATTCTCCTTAGCATTCTACCAACCGGTGCTCTCTATGATGACTGTCTCTCGAAAGAGTCACAATTGTTCCGTGCGCTTCCGCGAGCCGCTGCGAGCAGCCTAGTGCATCTGATGAGGCGGCACGGCTCAACAATCGTCGTGAATGCTGCCGCAGTTTCACTCACGGACGCTCTTCTCGGCCCACAGGGTGTGGCCATTCTCTCTGGGCAGCCTGTCATCGCGGTACCATCATACTTGGATGATAATCTGTGGCAGTTATCTGGATTTACGCCGCTGGCTCTCAAGCTTCTCCAGCGTGCATCTACCCCGGAGGAAGCCGTGAGATCGGTTGAGATTATCCTGCAGTGTATACAGAATAATTGGAGGAACAGTGAGGCCATGGAACGAGATGGAGGCTATTCCGTGATGGGAATGCTCCTTCGAGTCAAACTTGGCCACAGTAGCCCTGGAGGCGACAATGGCGTGGCTCGTCTGCGAATGACCGATGATGAAAGGGAAAGCCTCACTTTCCGACTGCTGAGTCTAGTCCTCGGCTTCGTTGGCTATAATCACGAACACCCCATAGAATCCTTCATCATCAACCCTCTCGCATACCGCATTCTCCTTATTGATTTCGATACCTGGAGGAAATCGGCACCTCTCACCCAAAAGCTATACTACCAACAGTTTGTGACGTTTGCGGTTATGAGTAAGTATCATGAGTTTAACAGCCGCCGGCTTATGCGAATGAGTAAGTAAATTGATATCCTAGCCTCCCTTGCATCTTGAGGCGAGCGCGAGCATTAATTTCCAAGAACTTTCTTGCAGGGATCATCAAGAGGTTATTAGATGCCATGAAGGCCGAAACTATTGCCGAAGCCGTCCTACCCTCATTTCTTGAGGCGTTTGAACACCTTGTAAAATGCAATTTCAATAGCGAGGTTCACCGTGCCTTGGCTCTCTTCCTAACTTATTCCTTCCACTCGCCTTCTACCTCCCTATCGCGAACGCCGAAGCCCTTGTCTGCCATCTCTAGGGCAAGCACTCCCGGACTTGGGATTATTCGGAGGTCTACCCCCGAAGTTGCGGAGGCTAGCGCCAAAGGATTGTACCTGACAAAGAAGCAACTGGGAAAACACGTCTTAGGCATGTTTTCCCGTCTTCTTTGCGAAAAAAAGTACGGTCAACATCAAGAGGTTCGCCAGAACAGTAACGAATAAGGTATGATTTCTTTTTCTTTCCCGGTCATCCCTCTTCCCATGGGTTAAATCAGTGATTGAGAGCTAACATGGGAGAATCAAGTGGCTCCTGTACCTCCTATCCGAGGATGATGCTGAAATCGTCGTCCATGGTTGCAAAGTTCTCGCTAGACTTCTTGTCAGCCACGGGCCTGGATACACGTCAAAGTTCGCGGCGAAAACCGGCGGCTTCATAATCATGGGAGACCGGCTCAAGCGGTGGTGGGACATACCTACCCTCTGGCCAATCTGCTTCAGCATCCTTTTCGGCTACGACGTCGCTGAGATCGACTTTGACCGCAACTTCAACTTCTTCAATCTCATCGAGATTTTGGAAAGTCCAAGATTGCATATCCGGATATCTTGCCCGTAATTGGCGGCATGATTCAGCGGGCCATCAAGGATGTCGTCCGCCAGCAGTCGCACCCCGACTCACCACACGTTGGGGTGCAATCGCCCACTACCGAAGATCCCGGTAAACGGCCCATGGGGGCGGAAAGAAGGGCCCGCGCTAGGTCAATGGACCTGCGGGAGGCGATGGATGCCATGAGCGCACCGCAGACCGATGCGGAGCGACTTGCGTCTCGCGTCGTCGTTCTCCAGACCGTCATCAGATTCTTAACGGACCTTCATTCGACCTCGGCTAGCTTCAAAGACTTTGCTCTGTCTTCCGACTATCTTCGTCTCCTTCTCTGCAGCCTTTACCCGGCCATTGTTAGTACCGATGCCGTAACCCCGAGACCGAACTGAGCTCCCAGGGTTCTGTGCTCAATTTTGACGGCGGGGACGTCATCATACGGCCCGCAGGGGTTCAGCACCTGCACCAATCGTACGCACCACTGGCATCAGGGATCCCACAATATCTACAGGGCCAAGCAGCTCCAAGCGCGGGACTCCTCCGAAAAGCGTCTTCGTTCGTTTTGTTGACCGCGGAGCAGCAACAGAAGCAGCAACCAGCACCGGCACCGGCACAAGGGCCGAGTCAAACTCTACTCGCCCCCGTTCTGTCCCCTCGGAAAAGGCATTTTCCTTCCTCACATCAAACAAATAACGCGATGCTGGAGGGGTCCTCGAACTTGTGATCAATATACTCCTCGATCAGGTTCTTCAGCGCAGAGATTTTACTGGCTTTGGCCTTTACCTGAGGATTCCACCCGGCTTCCAAGAGCACCAAGCCTACTTTGAGTCGTACATATTACGGAATACGATTGCTCATCTCGCAAGCGCCCTCCAATTACAGCTCAAGATGGTTTGCGAACCGCGCATACTAACAAATATGGCTCGATTTACGAGCCATATTACCGACGCGGTCTTCGAGGGCTGGTTCCTTGGCGGCGAAGACTCCTCATGGAAATAACAGGAATGTTGCTAGAGTATCTCCAACGCGAGGAAATTGCGAAGCTGAAAAGCGTGCGGCTCTGCAGTCAAGCTGTAACCATCATCCGAAGATGCTTCTTAAAAGTAATCTTGCTCAAGTTGTCCGCCATCGACGATCCCCATACGACTGATGCCGAAGCGGATGAGCATATGCATAAAATCCTCATCTGGCAGCCCGCCCTCCTTGGATGTCTGACGGGCGACGATGACCAAATGAGGCTCATTTGGTACCAGCTCTACGCCAAGCTGGTGGATGATAGGGAGTCAATCCGCCTTAGTGCGGCTAGCATCCTCCGCATCATGATGGTCCAGAAACCGGATGAAGCGTCGACCCTCCTGGGCCAGTTTATGACTCCGGAGCAACAGTCCCTCACCAAAGATTTCGAGAAGCTCACGGAGGTGGACAACGAAGCCTTTGTTGCATGGGTCGATCAGCATCGCCCGTCGCTGGATTCCCTGTTTTTCGGGGGCATGTCCAAGAGCTGGGAGGACTGGGTCCGGGTCGAAAATCAAAAATGCATGGATTCGGTCAAGATACGACTAGCTAAGCGCAAGGACCGCCTTAAAACATGGCACGACGAGGGCGTGCGGAACGAGAGCACGATATTGAGACATGAAATGGGAAATGGCTCGTGGATGAAGAGCATCTTCAACACGGAGCACATCAAACACCAGCGCCTGATGCAAGACCAGCAGGATGATATAGCATACACCGCTTCCACCTACGCAAAGATGGAAAGAGACCTGACGAGGCCTGGAGGTGTCTTTAGCTATGGAAACTCGAGTTCTAAATGGCGCCTGGATCCTACCGAAGGCCGGAACCGGATGAGACTGAGGTTGTTGCCCGACTTTTCAGGGAAGCACGACGAGTACCAGCCCAAGAGGAAGGCAACTGATCAGCTGTCAAGTTCTGCGCTCCGGCGCAACTCTGTTAATTCCCAAGCGCTGCCGCAGCGAACCAAGGATACGAGGCAGCCAACCCCGTCCACGCCGGCCCTACTACTACCAGTTCGGAAAGACGGGAGGGATGGCCCTCAAGCTGCAACAGGTGCCGATGTGATGAGCGGCGACGAGTCGGACTCCGGGGTTGGCCCGGAGGATGATTTTGAGCTTGTCGAAGACCCCAACGACCCTGCGGACGGCGAAGACGGCTTCGAGGACCGGAACCGCAAGGTAATGAGGAGACTCCAGCAAGGGGACAAGGTGCAGGCCGTCTACAATATTTCGCGCATTGTCGGACTCGAGCCGTGCGATGGGATCCTCATCCTGGGCAAGGATGCTCTCTACATCATGGACAACGTGTTCCAATGCGCTACGGGCGAGATTGTGAACGCCTGGCAAGCACCTCCGGACGAGCGGGACCCGTTCTCACGAATCATCATGGGCAACAGGGCCTCGGACTCGAAGCCGGTCAACTTCCGCACGGAGCAGGAGTCTCGTAGTTGGCGCTGGCAAGACGTCATTAGCGTATCTAAGCGCCGCTTCCTGTTCCGCGACGTAGCCATCGAGATGTTCTTCACGGACGGCCGCAGTTACCTATTGACCACGATCAACCCCGTCACAAGAGATGATCTCTTTGCGCGACTTTTCACAAAGGCGCCTCACATGGGCAAGCCAAGCCTTCTCCCCAACCCGGAGGACGCGTGGCGGCTAGAATCATTGAGAGTCGTCGACGAATCGCCCCAGGGGTTCGGCTCCAAGTTTGGCAACCTATTCAACAGCTCGCCCTTGAACCCGATCATGAAGAAGTGGCAGAAAGGGGAGATATCCAACTTTCACTATCTCATGATGGTCAACACAATGGCTGGCCGGACTTTCAACGATCTCACGCAATATCCCGTCTTCCCGTGGGTGATTGCGGACTATACGAGCGAGGAACTCGACTTGACAGATCCGCTAAACTTTCGAGACCTATCCAAGCCGATGGGTGTGCAGACGGGGAGCCGAATCCCGGGGTTCCACGAGAATTACCGGACCCTCCTGGAGATGGGCGACACGCCATACCACTATGGAACGCACTACAGCTCGGCCATGATTGTCGCATCATACCTCATCCGGCTGCCGCCGTTTGTGCAGTCGTATATACTCCTACAAGGCGGTACCTTTGACCACGCCGACCGGCTATTCCACTCCATCCCAGGCGCATGGAAATCGGCTTCCTCGAACAACAAGACTGACGTGCGCGAACTGACGCCAGAGTTCTTTTGCCTGCCCGAGTTCCTCGAGAATATCAACGGGTATAACTTTGGTGCGAAGGAGAGCTCGGGAGAGCAGGTGAATGACGTGGTACTACCACCCTGGGCCAAAGGCGACCCCAAGCTGTTCATCCAGAAGAACCGGGAGGCGCTCGAGTGCCCTTATGTGAGCCAGAACCTGCACCACTGGATCGACCTGATTTTCGGATATAAGCAGCAAGGCGAGGCGGCGGTAGAGAACATGAATGTCTTCCACCCCTTGTCGTACCGCGGCACGACGGATCTCGACACGATTGAGGATCCGCAGGAGAGGGCGATTGTGGTGGAAACGATCCACAACTTTGGGCAGACGCCGCATCAGGTGTTTGCGAAACCGCACCCAGGGCGGGAGGTGCCGCGGGGGCTAGGGAAGAGGCTCGACTTTGCGGTAGGGGCATTAACCAGGAGCCCTTACCCGCTGTTCGAATGCCACGAGCGAGTGTCCTCACTCTTGTACGCGGCCAAAGCGGACCGGCTGTTGTGCACGGCGCCTTTCCGACTAAACTTTGCGCCGTACGACAAGTATCTCGAGTGGGGCTATGTGGACGGTAGCATCAGGTTCTTCTTCACGGAGAACCGCAAGCCGGCAGGACTGTTCGAGAACATACACAACGGGCAAATCTCAGTCGCCATGTTTGTCGATTCGAGGACGCTTATTCTCGCAGGCAACGATTGCGTCATCTCCGTCTTTACAATCATGACATCGCCCGGAAAGCCGGTAGAGCTGCTCTCGAGGGCTCCGCTCCACGGGCACAAGACGCCAGTGACGACGCTGACGGCCTCCAAGTCGTTTAGTACGCTCGTGTCGGTCTCGGAGGGCCAAACCTTTGTTTGGGACCTGAATCGGCTCGAGCTCATGCGGAAGCTCCCGTTTTACCGAGTTGTCGAATGTGCCAGCATCAACGACGTGTCGGGGAGATTATGCTCTGCTCGGGCCCCAACGTGGTCCTGTACAACCTCAACGGGTCTTTGTTGCTGGACCAGCGGGTGTGCACGGAGCCCGACGACTACGTCCACTCTTGCGCCTTTTACGAAGGCGCGGGCAGCGAGTGGCTCGAAAATTACCTCGTGTTTACGGGGCATAAGCGAGGGCGGGTCAATGTGTGGAGGAAGGCGAACCGGGAGGGCAAGTGGGTGCTGGAGCTGATGCGAAGGCTGGAGCACGGAGATGGCGCGGCGGGCGTGGGCCGCGGGGTGCCGGAGGGCGGAGTGCTCGTCAAGGGGCCCGAGACCAAGGAGGACGCTGCGATTACGTGCATAACGCCGATGCCAACGTGCCTGTACACTGGCGACGAAGACGGCAAAGTGGTGAGTGCCTTTTCTTTCCCTTTTCCCTTTTCCCTTTCCTTTTCCTTGAAGTAGATGGACACGCTCTCCGCAACGTCCTGCAAACACGCACAACATCGTTGGAATCGTTAGCTAACGTGGACGGCGACGGCAGTACGAATGGAACACCACGCAGCACCGGGACAGGTAGAGCCTCTCTTGTGTAACGACGTGATCATGCGCCGTAGTTTATGCCTTCTTGGTAACATAAAACAACGTCTTCTTCCTAGACTTGGTCCTAGTATGAGTTCTCTCATTCCATAAATCTTTTCTCGAGTCCCTTTGGAGTTGAATTAAAACCACATCGTCGCCCAACCCCAACCCCAACCTAGAGCAAAATGAAAGCGAAGAACGCGAGTCTTGTAGGGCTAGGCCGGGACTCGTAAGTAAGAATAAATGGCCGGTATATCAGCAGGGAGGGGAACGGGACGATACATTCCGGAGAGTTGACGTGAGCCTTGATACACCCAATAAAGATTTACATGTGCACATTTTGCGTTGGGAGATTCTTCTGCGCTGGATCTCTGGAAGAATCATCCATTCTCTACTCAAGACCCGTCCTTTTTCTTTTTCCCTTATCTTTTCGATCTGGTTTCTTGATTCGCCCTTGCTTCTGCCACTGTGACACGAAATCGGAACCCCAGGTTGGCTAGAATGTCATTTGCATTGATCCAGGGATGCATCCAAGGACGGCGCCATCTTTCTTAAAGCCGGTAAAGATCGTGGGTGTTGGACCCCGACCTTGGATCCGTGAGAGATGGCCGAGAGGAGAGGTAGGCGAAGATGACGGAGAGATGGAGTTTGGCCCTCGTTTACGTCGGCAAGCCCAGTGACTACATGTATCCAAAAGGTGGCCTCGCAAACTTCGTTTATCCCCTCGCATTTCGCATTGTTCCGTCTCGCCACTCTTCACAAAACGCGCTCTTCTTTTTGTTATTTAATTGTTTTGGGGGTCTTGGTCGGTCACTCCCCTTCGTCCTTTCTCATCCTGATCATTCCGCAAGTTTCCGGTTGTTTTTAACACGCGTTATATACCTCTTGGTCTCCCCAACTCTCTTCCTTTTGTCCACTTGGCTCGGTCATAGGTGTAGGTTGTATTAGGCGACGTCCAAGGCCTGTCCTGTCGAGAGTCGATTTTCTAATCCGACAGATACTATACGTCGGGTTTAGGCGACGGAGATGACGGGACAGCCCTGGTAAGCTCTAGCTCCCGCGACTAGGGGCCAATGCAATACCAGGAAACCCTAGCAAGGAACGGCATTCCTACGTGTGTGCGAGAGTGCCAGAGTACCAGAGTGCGTGTGGATGGAACGTGGTGCAGTGCAAGTGCAGTACAAGTGCAGTGCATGACGGGGAGTTGGAGGAGTAGGAGCTGGGCTGGGGTTGGCCGCTTACACGGGGCAATTCAGCCGGTACCCGCGCCGTTCAAGGATTGATCCCATTGCATGGAGAGAACAGGTAGCCGATCCGGCTTCTGGGCAGAGCAAAGCCCCATCAAAACGTCCATGTCGTGTACTTGGCATACATGGCACGCATGGCACCACCCCGCCAGAGAAACGATGGATCCGTACTTTGCAACGCGGCACGAGAAGGTCCTTTCGGATCGGACGTGCAGAAGCGAGCCGACCTTCGGGGTTCTGCAACACTCCGAACCCCTGTCCTGTCCAGGCTTCTCCGATGCCCCCTTCGCTATTCTCGCGACGTTTCTTCATCTTCTTATTCCTTTCCTAGCTTGCTTCGGCGAAAACCATTATTTTTCGGGGTTGGCAATAATATGTCAACGTCATACGTCGCTTGGACTTTGGTTTCGCGACATTGGGGCACCTTTTGTGCACGCAGGCAGCAAAGTCCTCTTCGGTGTATCTAGCATCGCACTCTATCTGCTCTCTGCATTTCGGTATTGGCTCGTAGAGTTTCGTTTTTCCCGAGTTTGAATATAAAAGTCAAAACTTGATTCTCTGTCTTCCAAAGCTTTTTCCTTCTCTCTCTTGGACAGGCTTCTTCTCCCCGCCCATCTCGTTTGACCACTAGCTCCTTTTCTGACATTAATAACAACTGTCGAGGTCCTCGTGGGACTTTGTTCAAATTCATTAGCACTTTGTGTTTCCCTTTCCCAGTCGCTGATCACATCGCAAACCATGGGTTCTCTTGTTTCTACCAGCCGCTTCTCAGAGTGGCCCATCTCTTCACTCTCGTGGGGCGGCCTGCTCCTTGGGGCTTCTGTCGTTGTAAGTCGAGCCAACCCTTAGCCGACATTCCCAAATTTCTAGTGTCTAGTAAGGAAAAGGATAAGAGGGAATGTGGAAAAGCAGATAAGAAAAAAGGATGAGCCATCAAGAGAGAATGGGACGCATTAGTTGACTTATATCTGTGTCCTATCCTCATCCAGACTGCCATCGCATTCGCCGCAAGGGTCGTCTACAACGTCTACTTCCACCCACTCAAAGACTTCCCCGGTCCCCTTTCTCATGGGGCAACCCCCTCCCCTGGGGTAGGCATCTCATCGGGGGCACGCTTCCTTTCCACGTCCTCGAGCTCCACAAGAAGTACGGGCCCGTCGTGCGCGTCCGCCCCGGGAGCTGGCCTTTGCCGACGCACAGGCCTGGCAAGACATTTACGGCCACAAGGTAGCCGGCAAGAGGGCCGGGCTCGTCCCGGGCGTCAAGGAGATTCCCAAGGTCCGGGAGTTTTACAAGTCTTACAAGGGGCAGCCCGACACCATCATCACGGCCGAGCACGACGGCCATGCCCGCTTCCGCAAGATCATGGGCCCGGGCTTCTCCGACAAGAGCATGAAGGCCCAGGAGCCCCTCATCACCAAGTACATTGACCTGCTCATCCAGCGGCTGCATCAGTACAGCGCCCAGGGCCCTCAGAATATGACCAACTGGTACAACTGGACCACCTTTGACGTGATCGGGGACCTCGCCTTTGGAGACTCCTTCAAGTGCCTTGAAAAGGTCGAGAGCCACCCCTTCATCACCGCCATCTTTGGGTCCCTGCGCCAGTCCTCTGCCCTTTGCTGGTGCGCTTCCTCGGCTTCCCTACGCTATCCAGCATCCTCATGTTCGGGTTCCTCCGCAAGGGTCTCATGTTCCGCGCCTTTGCCCAAAAGACCCTGAAGAAGCGCATCGAGAGCTACGAAACCAGGCCCGACCTCATCGAGCCCCTCCTCGTTCGCAAGGACGAGGACAAGTACTCCTTTGGCCAGCTCGCCGGCATGGCCTCCACTCTCCTCTTTGCCGGGTCGGAGACCACGGCCTCCACCCTGACCGGCGTGACCTGGCTCTTGCTAAGCAACCCCGCCGCATACGAGAAGCTCAAGGCCGAGGTGAGGTCTGCCTTCCAATCCGAAGACGAGATCGATTTCACCTCAGTGAACAGCTTGGGATACATGCTTGCTTGCCTGAATGAATCTCTCCGCCTGTTCCCACCTGTTGCTATTGGCCTGCCGCGACGTATCCCCGCGGGAGGCGCCACCATCGCCGGGCAGTATGTCCCAGAAGGTGTAAGTTGAGCCTTTCTTTTTCTTACCTTTAGAGGTATATCCTCTGTCCTGCTCGTAGCTAGCCATTATTAACTATTCCCCTATCGTATCCTTGGTTGCTGTAGACGGTCGTGGGCGTCTACCAATGGGCGATCAACAGGCTGTCTTCTAACTGGAACGCCCCCGATGAGTTCATCCCCGAACGCTTCACCGGCGACGAGCGCTTCCAGACCGACAACCAGGCGTGCATGCGGCCCTTTTCCCTCGGGCCTAGGGACTGCATTGGTAAAAGTAAGTCCAGCCGCTCCTACCCAATCCTAGTCTAATCCGGACTTCGTTTATTATTTTTATTTTTTTACGGCTTGCTAACAGATCGTTGCGCAACACTCTCACTAGTCTGGCGTACGTTGAAATGCGTGTCATCCTGGCCCGCATCATCTGGAACTTCGATATGGAATTGGCCGAGGAAGGCGATTGGCTTGCCAAACAGGATAACCACCTGCTCTGGAGGCGCAGGCCACTTAGCGTGAGGCTCACGCCCGTGCAGAGGTGAGGTGAGCACCAAGGCGCCGTTGGCTAGATTCGGGCTTTTGGGTTACGTGCCCGGGGCCATGTGGCGATCCTCGAATCTATGCACCCATGAGTACACGAAGACCACCCCGCTTAGTACCAGCCCGGCATGACAAGAAGCCGGACCATGTCGGTTGCTCTAATCCTTTCTAGAGCCACCTGTTACGTAGAGAAGTTAGGCGCTGTAAAACTTGTTAATCCCTACCCTCTTTCTTGCCCCCTTGGTTGAATCAATGATCAGCCTTGTTAACTAGTGATCGTGTGTAAACTGGCGTGTTTCTAGCGTAAAGCATTACGAAGATCATCAAGTTCCTCCAAGTAGTAGAGCTGGCCGGTTGCGTTGTCGGCAATGATTTTCTTTGCTACAGGATCACGCGACCCAACTAACGCCTACCGAAGAATCCTCGTCCCCAATCTCCCCGCCCCCAATGACGTCTGTCCTGCTTTGGATTATCTTGCAGAGATAATTTCCTGGTCGGCGAGTGGTGGGATCAGGATCATACACATCAATTGATGTCTAGGAGTGGTGGGTGGCGGTTGGTGCTGGTCGCCATGCTGCGGCATTTATCCCAGACCACTCCAGGAAGTAACCAAGGCTTACCTTGACCTCAATCAAGCTTGGGTCCTCGGTGGTGACTTTTCATATCCAAGGACTTGCGAGTATGCCGAAAGAGCAAAACGTGCTTTAAGTAAAATATATTCGGTTGTATGGTATGATATACATCCCTTCTCTAGAGTCCCATTTTGAAACAGTTTCGCCGGAGCTGTCCAAATTGTCTGCCTGTCTACTAGCAGACTCGCCCAGGAAAAAGAGGTCAAACAGATAAAGAAAAAGACATCCGTAGTGCGTACGTCGGATCCTCCACAAACACCACTTCCCCGTCCCCGTTCAGCAACCGTTTGTTTTTTTACTCGTCGTCATAGCCCGTTAATTGTTTCCTGGGTCCGGTAGGAACTGTAAGGAGCAGAGATATTCAGGTTAGAACGGTTCCCCTTCCTAAGTCATGAGGCACTGCAGCCTTGCTCTCGGTTGAGCAATATCGAGAGACCTACCTGGATATGTGACGGGAATCTTAGGTGCGTTCTCGTCTCCGACAAGTTCGCGAATCTTCAAAGTAATGGGGATCGAGACGGGTCCGACGACGCCGATGACGAGGGACCAAAAGTACGCAGGGCGCTCTCGCGCGGCCCAGCGCATATACTTGGCGGGCGTCGCCCAGAATCGAGGGCTCGACATGGTTCGAGGATGTGTGGAGGAGCTACTCGGAGGAGGGCGTCTCGCGTCAGAACTAGGTATTCTCGTCCGCTCAGTTGCGGAAATCTTCTCTAGACACCATAACTTACCCAATTGGTGTCGGAATGGCTTGTCGAGGAAAGCACTTGGGCAATAGCGTCCACAGGTTCAATCGCGAGGTCACAGTTTCTTGCTCGGCCCTGACAAGATTTGGCTGACGATTTCACGACAGTCCATTTGACGACCCGGTTAAACTACGGTATAAAATACCGGCACCTCCTGTGAGATGAACCAGCCACCTTTTCCAGCCACACATAGATCGGCGCCACTCACAGACACCCGCAACCGTCCCCCATGTGTCAGGGTGGGTCCCCGAAACAGCAGCTTGGCGTCGAACGGATACGTATCCCTAAACCCAAAGGGAGCTCTTTTGCTGTGCTGTTCGTACCTGCCTGCAACGACTGTGGACGTGGTCAATGTTTTAGATAATAATTCGACCGCGCAAGCAGCAAAGCTGATACCTCCCACTCGCTCACTCCCCAATCCCCTCCCCATGCGCAGCCTTTAACGACGAGCTGTTGCAACGAGACAAAAAAAAACTCCCCGAGAGAATCCACCAACAGTCGTTGCCCCAATCTGTTCTACTTGCAATTGAACAGAACACGATTCCCATCTTCAATTGGCAGCGCCGGGCGGTTCAATCCAGCATGAAGTCCTTCGTTGCCTTCCTCGTGCTGCTCCTCGCCGCTGTCGTGCAGGCCGTCAGCTCCGCGGGCAGCAGGCTTCTCGTGATCCTGGACGATGTCGCCGACAATAGCGAATATTCGAAATTCTTTGACGATCTGAGCAGTATGAACCCCTCGCTTGCATTTCCTCTCCATTGCTTCTGATAGCTCCACCCCTGGCTCACACTAACCCGAGGGTCTAGAACGAGGATTCAAGATCACCTACGAGACTCCCAAGAGCGAATCTCTCTCTCTTTCCATCTTGGAGAACGAACGTACGACCATGTCGTCGTCCTTCCCACCAAAATCAAGGGTACGATCCCCATGAATAACATGACCAGCCACCTGCCATATCTATCAAATTCAATGCCAGTCGCAGGAGGCACACGCAGCCTTGGCAACGATACCAGCTAACATTTCGTGCGCTTCCTAGCCCTCGGACCTAACTTGACACCCAACATCCTCGTCGATTTCATGAATGCCGATGGCAATATCCTCGTCGCTCTATCTTCCAGCACCACCACTTCATCTTCCGTCACTGCCCTCCTCGCTGAGCTAGACATCTCCCTCCCCGCTGAGCGCTCCGGCCTCGTCGTTGACCACTTCGACTATGACACTTCCTCCGCCGCCGATAAGCACGATGTCCTCCTCCTCTCGCCCCCGAAAACCACCCGGCCCGGACAACAGCAGTACTTCACTCCGGAGACTACCGTCTCAGAGCTCATCGCTTTCCCCGCGGTGTTGGTCATACTCTTGGACAGGGACCCCTTCTCACCCCTATCTTGAAGGCTCCTAGCACCGCTTACAGCTACAACCCCAAAGAAGAGACCGACGCTGTCGATCCCCAGGAGCTCTTCGCCGTTGGTGAGCAGCTTGGTCTGGTCTCCGCGTTCCAGGGCCGAAACTCGGCCCGCTTTACCCTCGTTGGGGCTGCCGAGATGCTCTCTGACACGTGGTTCGATGCCAAGGTCAAGAAGACCGGTGGCAAGGCCGTCGGGACCTGGAACAGGGAGTTCGCCAAGCGCGTTTCCGCCTGGACTTTCAAGGAGATTGGTGTCCTCCGAGTCAACTCCATTGAGCACCGCTTGAACGAGCCTGGTGTCGATGCTGAGCCTAACCCTAGCATTTACAGGATCAAGAACGACGTGGTAAGTGTCCATTATGCCGACGTTATACGATTGATGCAGTCACCTTTTACCTTTGCCGTTACTAACAGACTGCCTAGACCTACACCATCTCTGTCTCGGAGTATTCTTGGGATAAGTGGACAGCCTACCTCGTTCCCGACGGTGACGAACTCCAGCTCGAGTTCAGCATGCTGTCACCTTTCCATCGCCTCAACCTCAGCCGCGCCAAAATCACCAAGGATGCTTGCACCTACTCCGCCGCTTTCAAGCTTCCCGACCAGCACGGCATCTACAACTTCCTTGTCAACTACAAGCGTCCCTTCCTTTCCAATGTTGAGGAGAAGACGACTGTCTCTGTCAGGCACATGGCCCACGATGAGTGGGACCGTTCCTTCACCATTACTGCCGCCTGGCCTTGGATCAGCGGTATCGGTGCCACCGTTGTCGGCTTCGTGGCGTTTTCTGCCCTTTTCATGTACAGCAAGCCCACGGACCGTGCGGTTGAGTCAAAGAAGAAGCAGTAATGGGTAGTGGTAGAAGGGTCTTTCAATGTTATGTACCCCTGAGAAAGGGGCATCTCTCGGGCCGTTCAGCTCTGTCACGTCCAGTTTTTCGATAGCCAACAATGGCTATCCGAGCGGCTAAACGCCCGCCACAGATGGAGCAATGGTTTTCTTTTCTTTTTTTCTTAGAGTTTCACAAAGGGAAAAAAGGGGGCCGGTGTGAAAACATGTACATCAAGGGACGTTATAAAGCGGCTTAGTTTTGTTTTATTTTCTCTCCATTTTTTATTAGAACCCGAGGTTCGCCTCTAAGAATACAACGATTTGAACCTCAAAGATTCATCCCTCCGTCCAACTAGCGACACCTCTTAGCTACAGCGAAGAGAGACACGCCCAGACTAAGGGCTCAAGGCATAAAGAAACATGCATAGGGTAGTGGAGAAGGGGAGGTAGTAGGATGACATCTATCAAGGGGGCCCTCAGATTAGCTCTCTTATGTTCTCATCGACAGAGACGCTGTTCTTCCCCTCACGCTTGCGCGAGGGGAACGCGCGCCCATCTGCCTGCAAATTTGGCTTTTTGGACCTTCACTTGGTCATCACCGGGCTCTTGTAGAGTATTGTAGAAGAAATGGAAATCAAACATGCTCAGCTGTGTCGGGCCAGTGTCAGCCGCAGCATCTCGCATGAAGAAAAAGAAAAGACAAAATGGAAAAACAAAAGGCGCACTCGCCCTAAGCAGAAAAAAGGCTCTGCTAGAGTTCTCGGCCTCGAGTGGAGGATAAGATGTGCGTGAAAGGCACTTGCAAGGGTAGGGTTCTCCCGAGGATCCAAACCTTCTAGGCATAGGCAGCGGAGTCTAAAATGCGAAATATAAACGCAAGGAGCAAGCCGACAGCGGTCAGGTAGGAGAGCCTGGGTCCACCACATGCGTCCATAGCCGTACGGGTTGGACTCGTCGGCCAGCATACGCGGTTCTAAATGAACACACAGCTCGAAGCGACGACGGCGTCAGTCCCAGGCTACCAGTTGCTCACGACCGGACTAGGGCCGGAGAACTGGGGGATTGCCACGAGGAAAGAAATGAAAGAGGGAGGGGTCTGAGTAGCCAAGGCGCGGTTAGCGAGCAGGTCAGTGTTCATGTTTCATTCGACGGGTCCGGGGACAACTCACCAGCCTGCTACGATTGAAAACTTTGTAATATGCCGTCATTGGCGCTCGCCCGACGACCCTGATAGCCTCTCTCCAGACAAGCTGGAAGATGAGAAGGGCAAGGTCTGAAGGTGAGCTCAGTATAAGCCTCTCGCAATCAGGTGCAATATCGTCATGGCGGCGAAATGCCCCCTTCCTACTCCTCATTTCTACTTCCCGGGTGGCCAAAGAAGAATTGTGAGAGATGTATTCCTCCAATGAGTGAACACAGCCCCTGCTCAGATCTCTGTTCTTTATACTTCTGAGTTCTGATCATATACCCGCCGAGGCCGGTTTCCGAGGAACCCTGGCCCCTCTGGGGATCATAGCTCTCTGAGTTATGTCGTCATCGCAGGGAGGCATAATGCCGTTCAGGCAGAACAAAAGGAATGATGGAACGGCGGTGGAATCGAGTTTGCATGTTGTGTCAATAGATGAAAGCACGTGCAGTCGAGAGGTTCGGGGTGGGCGGACTAGTAGGTCAAGAATGTCTAGTCACTGGGAACGAGCAAGGTGAAAACGGTTGCTAGGGCACCTATGACATTATCGGTCGAGGCGAAACGCGGAGAATCAAAATCAAATGGGCGAGGAATGGTGCAGTACAAAGGCTGGGAGACTGGGTGGCGACGATGGGGCACGAGAAACTGCTTAGTGAGGGTACAATCTTGTTCCAAGAAAGGGGTCGAGGTCGAGGTGGAAAACGAAATTTGGGGCCGGCAAGAGGTTTGAGACAAGGCTAAAGTCACGGAAGACTCAGTGGCTTATAATTCGAACAGAGAATGCGGAGGGCACACTAATTTATAATGTGAAAAGAAGGTGAGGTCAAAAGCAACAGACGAGGGAAGGCGGATTTATAGTCGAGGCAACTGGAATGCTCGATAAAGTGGGTGAGGGTCCAACGCGCGTCTGGGTCGCGCCTACCCATGCTTGCCATACACGATGCCCTGAAGCTTTCGAAAGTGGGGCCTGCTTGATGGGCAAGAAAAATGTGATGACTAATCAAAGACAAGCTCTCGGTTTGGGGATGTGTTTTGCCTTGGCTAGTAGAACCTCAGTCTCTGGCAAGGCTGTGAGTGAAGCAAAATCAAATCAAACAGAAACTGCACCGACCCGCGCATTCCCATTCCCTCCTCGTCGCAACAGCCGTCGCAGTTGCACAAACCAGCCTATAAGGCTTTACGCCCTTCGACTTTCCTCTTGAACCTAGGAACGGCAATCACCGAGTCTACTCTTCCCATACTGCCTGCACCCCGACTGGCAAAATGGTAAGCTTCGAGCCTTTGGCAGATCACAACGCGCAAAAGAACTCTCTAACCAGGTCGCTTTTCCCCCACCTCTAGGCTCGAAATTCGGAAAAGGCCCAGTCTATGCTGTTTCGCTTCCGCGAAGCGCAGGCTGCCGATCTTGGCCTCTTCGATGCCGGCCGTACCCGGCGCCCCAGGACCATCACTGAGGTCGACTCGATACCCTCGTGCGAAAAGTGGCGAGGCCAAGTGCTCAAGGAGATCTCGCGCAAGGTCACCAAAATCCAGGATCCCGCGCTCAGCGACTACCAGATTCGCGACCTCAACGACGAGATCAACAAGCTCATGCGCGAGAAGCACATGTGGGAGGTGCAGATACGGAACCTCGGCGGGCCCAATTATATGCGCGCGGCGGCAAAGGTGTACGATGACCAGGGGCGAGAGTTACCGGGGAGAGGGAAAGGCTATAAATACTTTGGGCGAGCGAGGGACTTACCGGGAGTCAAGGAGCTGTTTGAGTCCAAAGCGAAGCCCGCGGAGGACCAGCCACAGGAAAAACGCGCAGATTTCAGGAAGCAAGTGGACGCGGCATACTACGGGTGGAGTCCGGACGAAGAGGATGACGAACTTCTTGCGTACGAAGCGGCGCGGGAGAAGGAGGCCTTTGAAAACATGGCCGACACGGGGAACCCGGAGCCTCCACCGGGATGGGAACCGCTCCCAGGTGATTCTGGAGATGGGCGAGAGTGGCAGCTGCCAACCTTGGAGGAAGTTCAGGAGGAGCTGATCGACCGGCGAAGACGAAAACTGCTCGATCAGTTATAGGTCCAGCGTTCACCAAGTTCCACGCTCTATCGTCGAATCCCTCTTCATCAACTGCCTCAGCCTTGCCTTCCACACTGGTTTTCTTTTTTTTTTAACCAAACAAAATTTGGGCTGTCTTCTCACTTGGCGGAGATATTTGAGTTTCATACCATTTCTGTTCTTTTCCTCTTTTTTTTCTTTGTTGGGACAAAGCATAGCATTTTCTGAATATCATTAGCCTAAGAAACTGGGGACTTCGGGTTCTTCTTTGAAGCCAACGTTTCTCGAACATTTTCCCAGTTGTCTATCTAATCCTCATCGCCCTCCATCCAGCATTTGGTCGTCTCATCACCGCGAGTCGGTCAAGCCTACCCCAGGCCAACAACTGCAATATAATAGGCACGGTACCGAGGCGATAATCACGAGAGACTATAAAACCCGGCGTCCATACAAGCTTTGTGGGCTCTTGCCCCTGGCGGCTGAATTCAACTCTTCCTCTTGCCCCAGACTCCCCAACCACTGGCCCACCCCTAAATGCCGGAGGGAAACACTCAATTCATTCTCCTCCACAATTTCGTAAATTGCATGAGAAATGGGGGATCTCTTCGAGCATCACCCCCACCCCACGCCCCCTCCGCACACCCGAGCAGGCAACTTGTTTGTTTCCATTCCTTTTCTATTTCTCCGACGCCCCCAATGCGAACGATTGTTGGTGGGAGATCTAGATGAACTCGCTTTGAGGGGGTGTTGGGCAAATGCATATAGTTGCTATCTTTGCCCCCTGCACTTTATCCAACCAGGGAACCGACAGATACATGTAGTTTTCTGCAGAAGGACGAGGGGGATGGAAGAGGTTTCGGGGTCGATACGTCGAGATGTGCAAAAGGCCGTATGGCCGTTTATCCACCGCATTTGGTCTTCGCGGATATTGAACTAATGATGGACAGTGAGGGAAATGGGTGGGGAAATGAAGCGTGAAAGTGAGAACCGGTTGACTCTTAGACCGACCCCAGGGCACGTAAATATATATATATATATATATATATATCGACCGCGATGCAAAATTTTGGTCCACGAAAGCGCATCCTCCCCTAGCTCAGTCGCGTGGCGTGAAACCTAACCTCTCTGGGCTCGCGATAACCGTACAGATCCCCATTATCCAGCTCACGAGCCATCATGACCTTCCGAAAGACGTTGGCGGTCCTCGCCGCCTTCGTCGGCCCTATGCTCGCGCAGAATGGGCAGTTCCCCGACTGCGCATCCGGACCAGTACGGCCTTCCTATCGGCTCCTCCTCTCCCTTATCCTTCAAGAGCATACTAATATCCTATTCGCGTAAAGCTCGCCTCGAACAAGGTCTGCGATACCACTCTCGATCCGTACACCCGCGCCAAGGCTGTAAGTGAACCAGGGTAAACCAGCGTTGCCAGATCCCTCCGCAAAGAAAGTAGAAGTAAAAGAAGAGAGTCAGGGCTTACGCAAAATGACATTGGTATAGCTCGTGGAGGCAATGAACCTGCAGGAAAAGATTGCCAACTCCGAGGCCGAGGCCCCCGGTATCCAGCGGCTTGGTCTCCCCAAGTACACCTGGTGGAACGAAGCCCTTCACGGCGTCGCACGCTCGCGAGGCGTCAGCTTCCGACAAAATGGCGAGTTTAGCTACGCTACGTCTTTTCCACAACCAATCACCATGGGGGCCGCTTTCGACATGGACTTGGTTGAGGGCTTTGCCAGTAAGTGTCTTTATTAGGGCTACAGTATGGGGCTCATTCTCTCGCTTCATTTCTTCTTACATTACCAACTAGATGTAACTTCGACCGAGGCGCGTGCGTTCAACAACGCTGGCCAAGCAGGCCTCACGTACTGGACGCCCAACATTAACCCGTATAGGGATCCCCGATGGGGCCGCGGCATGGAGGTGCCCTCTGAGGATGCGTTCTTCATGAGCACGTACGTGAAACATCTTATCCCTCGTCTTCAGGGCGGCCTCCACGCCGAGCCGTACTTTAAGCTTGTCGCAACCTGCAAGCATTATGCCGGCTATGATATCGAGAGTAAGTCTAGGGCTTGAAAAAACCGAGAGGACTTCTTGACTCACATGCACGGGTGCCCACGTCTAGATTGGCAAGGAAACGCCCGGTACGGATTCGACGCCAAGATCACCCAACAGGACCTCCGCGACTACCACCTTCTCCCCTTCCAGACGTGCGCCCGCGACGTAAACGCCCAGTCCATCATGTGCGCCTACAACGCCGTCAACGGCGTTCCGACCTGCGCCGATGACTGGCTCATGAACAAGCTGCTCCGCACGCACTGGAACTGGACCGAGGAGCAACAGTTCGTCACCAGCGACTGCGACTCGCTCAACAACGTGTTCCAGGACCACAAGTGGAAGGGGATGAACGCCGCGCAGGTCGCCGCCGCGACCCTTAAAGCGGGGTGCGATCTCGACTGCGGCGACTTTTGGCCGCGCAACCTCGGGCAGGCTTTCAACCAGGGCTTGTTCGATATCGAAACCCTCGACGAGTCGATCGCGAGGCGGTTCGCGGCCATGGTGAGGCTCGGCTACTTCGACCCCAAGGACAAGGTGCCGTACCGGCAGATTGGCTGGTCGGATGTGGCGACGCCGGAAGCGCGAGCGCTAGCTCTTCGCGCGGCCACGGAGGGATTGGTCCTCCTCAAGAACAACGGGGCTCTCCCCATCGAGAAGCCCGGCGGCGCGATCAAGACTGTTGCCGTGGTAGGACCGCTCGCTGCGGCAACGACGCAGATGCAGGGCAACTATTTCGGCATCCCTCAGAAGATTGTCTCCCCCAGGACGGCTTCAAAGATGCCGGGTACACCGTCTCCACCGGCCGCGGCTGCGACGTGGGCTGCGGTAACGCGGGCCAGTTTAACGAGGCTTTGAACGCGGCCCGGCAGGCGGACGTCGTCATCTTCGTGGGCGGGCTAGACGTGTCCATCGAGGCCGAAGACAAGGACCGCAACGAAATCACCTGGCCGGGTCAGCAACTGGCCCTCATCAAGCAGCTGGGCGAGGCGGCTGCGGACAAGCCGTTTGTGGTGGTCCAGCTCGGCACGATGCTTGACTCAACGGCGATTGTGGCGGATGCCAATGTGGATGCGTTGATCTGGGGAGGTTATCCGGGGCAAGACGGCGGAACTGCCATTGCAAACATCATCTCCGGAGTGAGTGCGCCAGCCGGCCGACTGCCCGTCACGCAATACCCCGGGAGCTACACCAAGGATGTGAGGATGACGGACATGAATCTTCGTCCGGGCCAAGGAAATCCTGGGTAAGTTGGACTTGGCGAATACCCGTACACGTCGGCAACTAACTGCATTTTAATTTTTTACGTCTTTTTTTTTTTAGGCGAACCTATAAGTGGTACACGGGCACTCCCGTTTTCGAGTTTGGCCACGGCCTCCATTACACCAACTTCAGTCTCGCCTTCGACCCCGACGTTATCAGCGAACTCCCAACCACGTTTAGCACCGCCGACCTCGTCGCGCAGGAATCGCAGGAGCTTTACAAGGACCTCTACCCCTTCACTTCGATTCCGGTCAAGGTGACAAACGAAGGCGAGGTCACCTCGGATTTCGTGGTCTTGGCATTCCTCAAGGGTGAGTACGGGCCGGAGCCTTACCCGAAGAAGCGGCTCGTGGCTTTCACGCGCTTTCATGCGGTGGCGCCAGGAGTCTGCGACGGCTTCTCTGGACATTAATATCGGCACGATTGCCCGTGGCGACGAGAAAGGGGACCTCGTCCTGTTCCCGGGAAAGTATAGCATTGTGCTCGACATTGACGACCAGGATATCTGGGAGTTTGCCATTGAGGGCGATGATGAGCTGCTTGACTCCTGGCCGGCGAGGTGAAGGAAGCAATACTTGACGTCAATTCCTTCCCGTAGTTGCACCCATGTACTACACGATGTACATGTAAGTAGTGCAGAGGGGGTTCCACCATCACAATAGATCCTTCCTCTCAGCAAAGAAATGCATCCATCCATCTATGGATCTCTTCAATGTTGTCAAGTGTGTATTCCAAGTGTGCATCATACAAATTTACCAGGGGTATTGCAGCCCCCTTTTTCTTGTTCCATCTCAAATAGCTCGCCTCAAATGACTGGAGCCATTTTGCATACTGCATAAGATGAGAGATTTAAGCTTTTTCCGAGTTTGACAATCCGCCATGCAAGGTGACCGGCAAGATGTGAAGAAATGTTACTTTGTATAGAATTTTTTTGCCCCGGGGCCTTTCTTTTCTGTGGGTTCACTCATCAGATGGAACTGGTTGGCTATGGTACCCACATGAGGATTGGCCGCCTCCCCATCTATGCAGCTTGACCCATCCTTCGAAGGATTCTATTATGGATGTTCCTTGGTTGGCAGAAAAAGGGGGCCAAAGAGGAGAAGGCCAAACTGAACTCGAGACACCAGCCAAAGCCCATGTCCAGGCACGCCTCAATATTTGAGCGCTTGTGTTGTTTGACTTTCCCAGCTGATGGGCGACAGGTCTGACTCTCAACGAGACTAGGCGACAACCACCAACTAGCTTCTTCCATTTGAAGCAAATGGCGCTCGCCGCAAGGCCGGGATTTGGCGCTTTAAGGAAGAAGAGAGAGTCGCCTTGGCAGTGAACGGGGACCGTATTATTCTCCATGTGGTTTAACTCAGGGGAGCTTGGGCTCATCCAAGAACCGCCACGTTCGACCAGCGGCCAGGCCAGCGCCAGCGCCAGCGCCAGCACCAGCACCAGCACCAGCGCCAGACGACGTGGAGGAATTATTCCGTCGGCCAACGCCGCCATTGAGGCCCGAAAAGCTCCGGGGCACAGTCCACAGTCACCATTGATAAAAATAGTCCCGAGCCCAAGCTCCATCGTGCCCAGTGACTGGCTGCCTCCTATTTCTCACCAGTTACCAGTTGCTCAGATCCCGTCGTCAGAGCAAACCGCTGCCCTTGGCCTTGCATAATACAAGTACCATGGACGTCTTAGTCGGTCGGAAGCTTGCCGACCGTCCCAATTCCGCCCAGCGAAATGCCGCTTTCGAGTGGCCAGGACATGGCGGATCTGGGTGGGTTCGAGACCACACCACACTCGCTGGTTTCCGGAACCCTGGTTGAGGTGGGTAGCAGTAGCCCTGAGCCGTCTTTGGTGATTCTCGTTCAAGATGGCATGGAGCGCGAATATTCTCTTGAATCACATCTCCAACGAAAGGCAGAATGTACGAAGTAGCACACCACTCGCTTGCCGTGTCCAGCAATCTCCGATGCGTCCCGGCCGTGAGTAACATTTCACGCAAAGGAAAGCCATTGAACGAGGTTCAACGAGGGTGAAACAAGCACGTCGAGTTTTCATGACAAGCAAGCGAGACGCGCGACATGAATTCTGAGTCAACACACCACCACAAAGGGAAAATCCACCACAAGCCTGGCGTGGCGCACGACAAGTGGGCAGCCGCACTAGATGAATTTGGTGAAGATTTTCAGGGCGCTTCAGGCATCGACGTATTGGTGTAATTGTGTATTCCTTCGTACATGGATCATTGGCCAATTTGATACGCCGGTATTATTATTATCCCAACCACGGCCCGCACACCAGAGGAGGTGGTACAGGCATCAAAAGAGGAGCGAATAATAAAAGGGAAAGGAAGCATAACAAGGGGGCAACAAAAAAGTAGCCGGACAAATGGTGTACAAGCAGGGAATTAAGAAAATGATTCAAAAGAAGAAAGAAAAAAAGATAAGCAAAGTCGGTTTGTTTCGATGAGCAGGAAGGCGGGCACGGATGCAACCTTACCAAGCTGGGAACAGAGGATTCCCTGCAGGAAGTCGCTCGTGTTGGCCTCGGGCTCGTTCCTCCAGTGGGAACCCGTGCAACGCCGATTACCCCGTAACAAGCCTTGCGTGAAGACTGAGTGGAGCGCCTCTGCACAGGATTACTCCGGCGCGAGAAAACAACGTCCATCCATTGGGTGGGACTAGCCGTGGACCAAGGGACGATGCATTGCGCCGTGTTTGCCCTCGTACCTGCATCTCTCACTGCAGGTACGTTTCGATTCGACCGCTGCTCCTTCTTTTCCCGCCTCTCCGCCATCTCGCTTCGTGCTGTCTTTGTCCCTGTCAAAAAGCCGTTGCTTTCACAACTTGTTTTTCCTCTCTCCTCCCCTCAATTCTCGACCTCGAGTCCTTCTGGGGGAGGGTGACCCGCTCCGCCGTGCGCCGCCCGCGCCCGCCTCTCCCGCGTTTCCTCTCACAATGTGATTTGCGCACGGAGTCCTCGCTGGGTCGAACGAGCGTTCTCGCCTGACCTGACCTGACAGGTCCACAGGTCTGGCCTCCCTTCAGCTTGACCAGTTCTTCCCACGACTGTCCGGAAGGTCGAAAAGTGGGCTCCCACCAACTTCAGAAACACGCCGTCCGTGCCTCTTGAGGATTTTGGGCTCTTCTTTCCCCTGAGGCACCAAGGCGATGGAATCCATTACATCAGTGAAGCGGTAGCCTAGCGTGGTCTTTTTCTCACCACCGCCCATTCGACCAAGTGGGCTGGTCCCGACAGACTTCCCCTTAAACCGCCCTTGTCTTCCCCACCCATCATCAAAGACCCTGCGCCATGCTCCTTGGCGCCCCGGTTATCTTCTGCCGCCTCCGTCACCGTTCGTGGTCGAGCGACCAAGCCCATCCTGAGAAAGTGCTTTGAATCTCTTTAGCAGTTTTGGGACAAAGGGCACTTTCGAGAAATAGACAGGGAGAAAAAGAAGGAAAAAAAAGAAAACGCCCCCTTTTAGCGCTGCCTTGAAAACGGGGTACAAGCACTTGTAGACAGTTTAAGTGTGGATGTGCTGTATCCTCGATGAGGAAGGGGGTCCATCCGTCCAAATCGAGAAGGAACCCAGAGATACCCTCCACTACACCTGCTTGCCCCATAATCCAATGCTCCCTCGCCTTTTTCCCCTTTTCTGTCCCACGTCCATTCACCTTCCAACCCTTTGTTTCTGAATCAGGTCTTGCAAAAATTAACACGAAGAAAACCGCACTCGTTTTCCCCCTCCCTCAGTCTTGTGCTGTGCGGAGTTGCTTGCTCTCGCGCGTGTGTCCTCCCTCGGTTAGCTCCCCGAGGTACCTTCTTCTTCAAGATATCCAGAACCGGGGTGCATCGAGTCTTGGACCAGAAAGTAGACTCATGGTTTAACCGTCCCAAGGAATATTATATCCTCGCCCAGCTCCATATTTTCTTCGACTATTGTTAGCGACCGCAGTCCCTACTTCTTCTAATCTTGGCCTTCTTTGTTTCTTTTTTCTTGTTTCTCTCTTTCTTCTTCCTTCTCTCTTGGTTTGCTCCTGTGTGTCTCATCCCCGTCCTGTCTTCGCCGTTCAGGTGAATCTCCGATACGCTACAACCAGGCAGCGGACCGAGCGACCACGACCTGACCGGAAATACGAGCAAGGAAGAACAACGACCCTCCGAGATCAATCTCTTTTCAACGAAATCGACGATAATACCACAGCATTCAACCGGCCCCCTTTGCCCGTTGTTTCTGCTCAGGCACTTCTTTTTACCGGCCGAATACACCCCGCCATGCACCGTTGACAGGAATTGTTCTCTTACCCTTCGTAATTAATAAGGTATCGACCTCCATTTCGACCACACACAAAAACTCAGAATGGTATCCCTTTTGGACTCAAATTCAAAGGGGGCAAGAAAAAGTGAGTCTCTGCGAAATCCTGTTGGTGGCCGCGGGGTTGCGAGGGGCAGCACCGCTCGATATCTCTCGTCAAGCTGAGATGGTCGTGTTGGCGCGTTCTTCGGCTTCCTCCACCCTTCTCCCCCTCATTTCTTCCATTATACTCACGGTTTGTCTTCAAAGGGCTATTCGTCAGGAAAAGCCCTCCCTTCTTCAGTCACCATGGAGGCAAGAGGAAAGGGTAGAAAATCCCGAGTTGTTCGCCCCGTCACTTAACCATCCCAGGCTGTTCCGCGGCGGTGAACGCCCGGAATCAAGACCTAATTCCGTCATGTCGAGAATGGAGAGGCCTGGAACGGGCATGTCGATGCGATCAGCAGTCGGCATGGTACGGCCGCCTTTCTATGCCCTGGACGGGACAACGAGTATGCTCGATTTCGGGACCTATAACCACTCGAGATGCTCTTCCCTGGCGCCTTCCATCTCTGAACTCCGCATGAACGCCTCGTCAACCGATTTACGGCATCGTTTCGGCCCCCAGGGATCCATCAGCAGTATAGAATCTCGCCCCGGTACCTCGGCTGGGAGAGAGCGACTGGCCGTAGGTGACACGCTAGAATTGCCCTTTAGCAAGGACTCGGCTACATCGAAAGCCCCCTCCGGGGTCACTCGCCGCTCGGAAGATCAACCACCTTGGAACCGCAGGCCAACTCAGAGACCGTACAGGCCGTGGAAAGGAGCCCACCCAAGTCTAACTCGCCCCTTCACAAGAAAAAGGCATCCTCCACCTCCTTGGGTGACCCTCGAAGGGGCCTCCCGTCTCCTCCCCATTCTCTCGTTGATGGTGTTAAGCCGAGCCGTGAAGAGGTCAACCTGTCGAACATGAAGCGCAACACTAGCGCCCTCAGGCAAGTTAGCCACGCTTCCGAGGGTGGCGATGACGCGGATCACCTCGGTCGCTCCGGGGCCTCATCGCCCATCTTTCCCCAAGGGTCCATGGCGACCGGACAACAACGGCCTGCACCGCTTCCTTCCCCAGCATCCTCGGATGCCACCATGCGTGACAACGAAGCCGAGGCTCCTCAGTGGGCCATGCCCGTAATCAAGACCGTCCAGTCCCGTCGAGATACGATAAGGGTGGAAACCCCCGGCAGCCCAGCATCACGATGAACATTGAAGAGCTTGGCAAATCTCCTTTTGCCGATTTCAAATTTTCCTGGGACGAAGTCGCAAGCGAGGTCAAGGCAGAGGAGAAGACGATGCCGCCGCCGCCGCCCCTACTATGGCACCCGTAACGAGACTACCCTCCCCCAACCTCGAGGGAGATGTTCCGCGCGAACCGCCCAGCCCCTCTCCAGCTCAATAGGCCAATGGGGAAGCCGGAGCTCACGATTGTCCCAGCCTCAGCCGGACTCGGCATCAGCGCACAGGAGCGGCCACTGCTGGTTTCGGAAACCGTCGCACGCACCCCCACGCAAGCCACGCTCGAGGCCTTTGACATGGACACGCCCCAACCTCTGGAAACGTACCAGGACGCAATCTTAGGCTCGACGCCGCCCCGAAGCCCAGCCCTTCCCGACTTACGTGGCCGGCAGATGCATCGCGAAGCAGTCCGTTCGAGTCCCCAGGCTGCCAACCGGCCCCCTCATAGTGGGCTAAGGGAGTCGCCGGCGCAGGACGCGCAACGAGCACCCGCGCCTGGGTTCCGGCCATCCCCTTTAAACGAGAGGGAACCCCGCCGGAACAACGAGCCCCAGCGTCCCGTCCGGTCGCCCACCGAAGGGCTCGGACTCCGACCTGGGCCAGGCGCCCGAGGTCCCAACATGGGACCACCACCCGCCCCGCGTGGCGCAATGGGGCCCCAGGACCCATGCGATCGCCACTGCCGCCCATGTCGCCGCTCCCGCCTAGAACGGACTCTCGGGGACCCCCACTGGGCCGCTTCCTTCCCCCAATCCCAACCAGGTGCGGCCCACTATCAGGGCGGTATACGACCCCACGGATCGCCCGCAGCCGTCACCGGGCCTCGCCCGGCCACAATACGGCAACGACTTGGACTATGGCTTTACATTCCCCAGTCCCAAGCGTCTCGATTTTGATTTTGCCCCCGCGCCAAACTCGGCGCCGAAACGAGGTGCGCCGCAATTGTCGCCGAATGAGGCATCAGGTTCGACGCCATCCTCTTTTAGTAATACCAATTGGCCTCTTATGGCTCCTATCCCGTCTCCCTCGCTCTCACTCCCCACCTTTTCCGCACCAACGACACCGCGTATGCCGCCCCATGGCCCGTCGCCGCCGGGTAGATCCCCCACGATGGCAAGGGTTGAGGACGACTCTGCCGTACCCTCTCCCTTGCGGCTACCGCTGTCTCCGAAGCCTGTAGAGCTGCCCCGCTCGAACCTCCGCCTAGACATCCCTTGCGCCCGGCATCCCCGTCTCCTTCACCGTTGGCAGGAGGCAAGACCCCTTCGCAGCCGAAAATGGGCAAGGCACCGCCCAAGCAACCCAATGATTTGCTCATCGGATCGCGGATGATGGTGCGGCCAACAGGAATGCCCGACAGGTACGGCACGGCGTTTATCTAAACAGTCTAGAAGACCTGGAGGGGGACGGAAACGAGCAAACGTAGCTTTGTTTCCGAACCAGGGGGAAGAAAGAGGCCGATACGCTCTCGGAGAAGAGACAAGAAGACGCCTCTTATCCTCTATAATGAAGAATATAATGGTAATGTTTTGAAGATTGCTGCCAAAGCTGGGCAGCGGGTGGCCCCGTAAACGGCGTGGGTAAGGAAACAAGGGTTTCCCGATTATTAGTTTTTGCTCTTTTTTGCTTTTGCTCATATCTTGGGATATCCTGTACTGGATGGTGTTGCATACAAAACGGAGCAGGGAGTGCTGTAACTTCCTCAGGAGGGCATTTTCAGGACACAACGGCTGGCGGTCCCTATTAAGACCGAGATTAGGTGTTTGGGTCGCGAGATCGCGTGGCGTTTAGTGTCGATACACTTGGGGTTTAAATGTGCCGACGTGGATGTCGGACACACATCATTTGTTTGATATCTAGAAATGGATTGTTTTTTCTTCCCTTTATCTTTTTTGGCATGACTACTTGTATGAAGGCGACTGCCAGCAAAGTCATGGTTCCTTTTTCTATCCCCGAGCATCGCTCTCGGAGAAAATGCATACTGGGTGTACGCATGAAACACGACTCCTTTCTTGTTCCACGTTTCTGCCCACACCCGCGTGGTTCGGTTCGGCTCCGATAGTCACGGCACGCAGCCCTACGAGAACCGGGTGGTCGGGAAGGGCAGACTTCTTCCTCCGCCTTCCTGTTGGGGGCGGGAAGACAACAGTCGTCGAGTCGTTTCCCAGCATGACGGAAACAGGTAGTAGTAGTAGCTGCGGAGTCATCACATGAATCGTTCTCAAAGGCTTCAAGTCCTCAAAGCTGACCCCTCGAGCAAGACCCGAAGCTATTACACCCCACACCCGCATCCGACGCCAGCGCCTGCACCATTCTTGCAGCTTCCGTACTGAATCCGGATTCCTGGCAATCGCCATATGTGTCGAAGCAGATCAGCCAATCCAAATCGCAAAAGGCAATGTGCGCCCAGAATCTACATGTACAAGTAGTTGATGCAACCCCACGAGAGAAAGAGTGCGGAATTCGTTCCCCCTTCCCCCTCCGGAAAAGCCACCAGAGTGCCTTGGGTTAGAATTTGCGTAATCAATATTCCCAATATTTCCCTTGACAGGGTGCTGGTGTTTGAAAAGGGCTGCAGACATCCCGCGCCGGACTCGAAGCTTGGCATGGTTCCCACAAGTGCTACGGATTGGGAAAAAGAGAGAACAAGAGAAAATTAAGTGTCGGGTTCATGGATCCCACCAGCGGACAATAAACTACCTGGGTTAAGCCTGGGCTAGCGGGACGAGGGGGGTGCCGCGCGTGGTAGTATCGCTCGAGATTAGTATGCCGGGATGAAAATGCAACGGGAAAACGTCTTTTTCTTTTATGCGCGTCTTTGCGCAGAGAGGGAAAACACATATGATGAGGCGCCCGGCCAACTTCCATCTCGTGGGACATGTGCAAAGTCTGATGGCGGGTTGCGCCGATGCCACGACCCCTCCCCGCGGACTGGGATCGAGTAAGTGGGGGAAAGAGGGAGAGGGAGAGAGAGGCAAGGCGGAAAGGGACGAAGGATGCGATGGTGCTTGATGCGGCGCGTCGCTGATCCTGCCAGAATGAGCCAGCAAGTGATTGGGAAGCCACACCCCGTGGGCTTGATCATGGGGGAGCGAGCGCAGCGCAGGGGTTGGCTCAGAGCAGATTGCCCTTGTTCAAGTGGTGTTGGAAAAGTCAATCCATGACCATTGTTCAGATATTCTTACGGAGGAGGCTCCACTCCAGCGTCGTCGGGATCCCTGAAGCTTGGGAAAGAGCAAGCACTTGAGCTTTGGGGGAGGGGGACCGGACCCATCACGTTCTCTGGTGGCGGATGAGGCCTTGGCGAGAAGTGGGGGCAAACTTTTTGTGTTCTTTTTTTTTTTTTTTTGGGCCCTTGATCTTATCGCGACGACACTCCAACTTTACGTGGGAGTCAACTTTTTTTTCTTCTCTCTTAGCGTCCCTTGCGATTTCAATATTCTTGCCTCTCCCTCTCTCTCGCGCTCTATTTGAACCCTCCCCCTTCCTCTCACCCATCTCACCGTCCATTGAACTCTATTGTCAAAGGGATCTCAGTCTCTTTCCACCTCCTCTCTCCCCAACCCTTTTTTTTACTTTGGCTGATCCTTATTCCCCGTCTATGACGCCCTTCCCCGCACGGCACCCCTCAACAACCTCTACTCCCGGGCACGTCGCTGCATGTGCCGGATCAAACAATAGAATCAACAGCAGGCGACTTGAAGTCTTTGCGCTTGCTGCAAAAAGGGGACGAAGAAAGACTTATTGAAGCTCTTCCTTTCAAACAGAAAGAAGAAGTACAATAATATACATACCATAACATACCATACCATATCTAAACCTCTCTCTCTCTCTCTCTCTCTCTCTCTCTCTCTCTCTCTCTCATACGCATCCTGTCTCGCTCTCACGCGCGCACGTGCAAGAGAGAGCAAAGGTTTTTCTATCCTTGATATAATTCAGGTGCTTCCTCAGGGAAAAAAACCCCAAATCATCATGTCTGACGACAAATCCGCTCCCGTGCCGGCCGCCACCATGATGCCCCCGGCCAGCGAGGACAAGGCCCTCGAAGCCTCGGTCTCGCCCGTGCTGCGCGAGGCCACCGGCGAGTCCAACGTCTACCGCGTCGACCCCCGACCCGTCCGAGGACGAGCTGGTGCGCAAGGGCCTGGACAAGATCCAGAACAAGCGGGTGCGCTGGTACTCGTACCTGACCACGTACGACTTTTGGATCGTGCTCGCCATCGGCCAGCTCCTCGCCCTGTGCATCACCGCCACCAACACCTTTAGCTCCTTCCTCGCCGAGAACGGGACCAACATCCCCGCCTTCCAGGTCATGTTCACCTACGTGCTCATCATCCTCGTCTACACCTCCATCTGCCTCTACCACTACGGGCCCCGCAAGTACCTCCGCGTCGCCGGCCGCCACGGCTGGAAGTACCTCATCTTCGCCTTCCTCGACGTCGAGGGCAACTACTTCACCGTCCTCGCCTACCGCTACACCAACCTGCTGTCCGCCCAGCTGCTCAACTTTTGGTCCATTGTCTGCGTCGTCATCATCTCCTTTCGCCTCCTCGGCGTACGCTACAAGCTCTTCCAGATCGTCGGCATCCTCGTCTGCTGCGGCGGCATGGGCATCCTGCTCGCCTCCGACCACCTGCAGGGCAACAATGGCGGCAAGGGCGTGAACCCCCTCAAGGGCGACCTCTTTGGCCTCCTCGGCGCCACCCTCTACGGCATTTCCAACGTCTATGAGGAGTGGCTCGTGAGCAAGCGGCCCATGTACGAGGTCCTCTCCTTCCTCGGCATCTTTGGCTTCTGCATCCTCGGCGTCCAGGCCGCCATCTTTGACCGTACCTCGGTCCAGGAGGCCGTGTGGACCGGGCCCGTCATCGGCTACCTCGTCGGCTTCACTCTCTGCCTCAGCGTCTTTTATACCCTCGTCCCCTTTATCCTCCGCATGGCTTCGGCCGCCTTCTTCGACATCTCCCTCCTCACCGCCAACTTTTGGGGCGTCATCATCGGCATCCGCGTCTTTGGCTACGTCATCCACTTCCTCTACCCCGTCGCTTTCGTCCTCATCATTGCCGGTCTCATCACCTACTTCCTCGCCGGAAACGTCCTCGGCGATTCCAAGAAGCCTTGGCTCGGCGAGAACCAGGAAGGTGGTGTGGTCGGTTTCGGCACCGCCAAGCTCAAGGCCCTCAACGCCGCGAAGAAGGCTCAGGCTGAAGAGGGTGAAAACATAGCGTAATCAACGACGGTATGGGCGGTGGATGACAAGGTGGGAGAAGAAGAAGAAGAAAAGGAAAAAAAAATTAGGGAGAGAAGAATGAGCGAGAAAGAGAGGCAGAGAGGGGTTCGGTAGGACTGAACAGAAGAGGAGAAGACGAGAGAGAGAGAGTGTGTGTGTGTTATGAGGCACGAGAAGGCACGAGAGCCTGAGCGTGCAGAACAAAAATGGAAGAGACGAAAAAAGAGAAAAAGAAAATTCTCTCATCACCCATCCCATCCCAGTAAGTTTCATGTTTCCTCGTTGAATCCTTGTTGACTTCTCCCCAGAACCTATCCCCTCCAGGCAAGACTAACTCTATAATCTCCAGCCGTCAATTCAACAAAACCTTCCTTTCGTGTCATGGATAGTTATTCTCCGTAGCTGTTCCTTTATTTATTACCCCTTATTCCCACTTGGAAAAATACATTGATCAGATCCACCTTAAACTCGGTTCAAAGAGGGAGTAGGCCTCTCCGGCACCTCGTCGTAGTATATGTGCCATGTAGTTTCCCGCCATCTTCGTAGGTTCGACTCCGTTTTCATTGGCGGAACGGGGCGGAACGGAACGACGTGCGCTTCGGAGCTCTCATCTCGGGCTTGGCCCGGAGGAAAAGGGGTCAGCCTCCGAACGCACGGCGCACTTGGCCAATGACCCCCCTTCGTTATACAAAGATCAACGCGATTCTTTTCATTTTGGTTCAATAAGGATCAAGAAGAGTTCCAGGGCCAGTATAATGCGTCCAGGAAACCAAACCGCCTTCTCTCGTTGGTGCGTGGTGCATATGCAACCCGGACATGCAAAAGGCATAACGTTCAGTCACGTACCTGAGACGGAGCGCGGGCCAAGCCGGGTCAATGCAGCGCCCGGACGCAGGGCCGCCGTGCCGCGTCTTAATCCTCCGGCCCTAGCAGAGCCACATGCTTTCAGGGATCAACCATCTTTGCTGAGGGCACAACCAGTGGTTTCTTTAATTTATGATTATCATTGTTATTCTGGTTTGTGTCACGGGTGAACCTGGCACCGGCGTCCAAGAAACCAAGCTTCAGTGCCCCAGGCTCCTCTCCAGTTAACCACTGGCCGGTTGAGTTCCGGTCGTCTTGTTGTTAAACCAAAGTGGGCGATACGCACACCTTGTGTAGGTCAAGGGGCAAGGGACAAGAGTCGCTACATGTAGTTTGGACAGTCCAATGCGGATGGGTGACGTCGTGCTCGAAGAGCAGTTAATTCTCGGCGCTTATCTTTGTATATTGCTCGCTGGTTTCATAGCTTCAAATCCATGATACGCTGCATCCGGGACGAGACTGTTAGTTATACTATATGATGGACTGTCCTCTTCCCCTTTTCATTCTGTCCCCGTACGGCCTGAGGTTCCATGAGATCCTTTTCGGCGTTCCCAAGAGCCCTAGTATGTGCCGACCCTCCCCCTCGGCCAATTCGGGAAACCAAATCTGGATGTGCTTACCCTCCCTAAGTACCGGGGCTAGTGTCAAGAACTCGGAACAAAATATCACGGGCCAGCGCCGTGGGAGAAGAAAGATCCGTTCTCTCCCAAGGTCGAGGTGCTATGCTTCAGTATCCTCGAAAGGGACACTTTTAGATTCCTCTATCTCGGGGTAGAGAGCAGTGGTAGCTTCACCAACCTATAGATACAGACGTCTCGGAATATACCCCTACGCTGACAGTTACGGATACCTGAACGTCCCTTCAACCTCAAGCCACTCGGCCGACCCGGCTTCAATGTCCTTTAGTAGCCCGGGTATGAGCCATAAGTCGTACTAAAGCTACCGAGCCACGGCGCCGAGACCGAAGAGACCGTTCCGGGAAGACTCAGAACCCTTTAGCCCGCATTTTTTTTCTTTTACTTCCGCTTTCCTCCTCCTTCCGCCCGATCTAGTCCCAAGGTCTGTCGGATCAGCCAATGTATGGCAAACCGGAACGCGGGGCATAAAACACAAAGTTATTGACGCTTCCTAGCCTCGACACCAGGGACATGGGCCACCGCTACGCGCCCCTCATAGAGCCTTTCCAAGAAAAGGAATCTTTTTCGTCACGCTGGAAAGCCTAGCAATCCAGCCATCATCCTCGAAGCTAGCTCCTCGACGGATCAAGTGGTGGATTCTCTCGCCGCCTTGCCTTTATACCACGTCCTCTTTTCGTCATCGGAGAGTAGATAGAAATGGCCAAGCGACATCTCAGCGAAGGAAGGGGAGAACTTGTACGATACAAAATAGGCGTCGTTACCGATAATGGGAGGACATATGCTCTTTTCCTTTCGCAAGGATACAGCGACGAAAGTGAACAACGTACGAGGGAAAACACCAGAAGAAGCTCTTGGCATTATAGAGGGATGATGAGAGATCCTTCGGATCAAGCACTACGCCCTGCTATTCCCGGGCTCGCTAACATCAAGCAGGGAAAGCGCCGGGTTCCATATCTGCAGCACCTCCCCACACCCCATCCCATCATCAGATATCAAGTTTCCGATCGTCCGAATAGGTTCAAGGCCGGCGGGTCCTTTGGCTTTCAAGCTGTTTCCCAGCTGTGTAGATCAAAAAGTTTTCAGTACTCCAGAAAACCTCGATTAGCAGTGTGCCAAGGAAGGGTTTCTCTCGGCGAGTGTGCACCCAGGTCTAGAATTATGGTGTGAAGCGGCTCGCTCCTATTCCATCAGTTCATGGACGCACGCGGCCTTGCTCTTGGACAATTTCGTCATCCTAAATAAATGAGCCGGGCCTAGGGCGGCAAATGACGGCCAAACAACCAACCTCGGTCGTTTATACATACATTTGTATGCCTTGCTCGGGGAAGAGTGATTGGGAGGCTTGTGGCCACCGTTATTTCATTACTCACCTTGCTTCCTCGGTGCGTGGGCGCTCGCGTCAAAGACTGTGGGCGGTGCTTCCTCAGCTCCCACGCCTGTTGGGTGATGGTGGCTAATCACCACGACCGAGCAGGGCCGGTCTTGTTGCCTCACTGTGCACCGAGATCGATCAGCACGAATGGGTGACCGGTGGACACCCATCGGTTAGGAATGAGTGCCGGTGACGTCGAGTATAGCTTCATCCTCAATGTGGCCCCTTTTCCTGCTCCCGACTACTTCGTACCTACTATGAGCACCCTTACGGGACTATCTGCCAGGACCAGAGGTTACTAATGTACTTGTCTTCCTCGAATGCCCTCCGAGCTGTGCACCCAAAAGCATCTCGAAGAAAGCAGTGGTTTGCATTAGGGGCTCCCGGGAGCAGCCACCAAGATCAATTGATGATGGTCGCATCCATAACGGGAGACTAGTAGTCCCCAAGACTGTTTTCTCGGCGGAGCAAGGGAACGACGGACAAATGCCCAACACTCAATATACGAGAACTGAGGGGCTAGGGTTTTCTTTCTTCTTTTCTTTTCTTTTTTATAAAGAAAAAGAAACCGGGACAGACAATCTGGTCATCACCCTCCTCCCACCTCCCACCTCCCACCTCCACCGTGATCGCGCACTTCAGGCGGGGACTTTCCGCATAGGGATGTGGGGAGTGGGGCAAGGAATTCTTGATCAAGAAGGGCAACGCAAACTCGTCATCGATGCAAGGCCTGCAGATATCGCACATCCCCACGACTCCTTGTGCTTTCTGTGGTCCACGGCTAATACTGGGCGGGAAAATTTTGCTCGGTGGGACGTTACCATCCTGCTGCTTCCTCTCGCTCCCTCTTGGTCACGATGCCGACGCGGGGTACCCGGCTTCAAGCCAATAGCTTCTCGTTGGCGTGTTCAGCATCGAACATTGAACTGACAGGAAGGACCGGGTCGAGATAGTCCACCCACCCTCCGCCCTCCCATCCATCCGTTGATCCACCCATTGATCCATTGACCCATCCATCCATCCACGAGTCGACCGAGTGTCGCCGTAGTAAGCATAATGTCGAGCGACCAGCTTACCGAGGTCCTCTAGGCACCAAAAGTTCGGTGGGTATTCGGGCAAAGGACGCCAAGCCAAGCAGACAGCCCTCTATCGTCCCGAGAATTGCTGGGGCTTGTTGTGCTGCAGTTTGGCTGTGCCACACAGCACACCACACACACCCGGACGAACGCGGTAGGTAGGTGGCGTGTTCTTCGTTGGCGACTGGGATGGATCGGTTCTGGCCTCATAGCGGGTGCCAGAGTTCTGCTGCCTACTGCTGTCCTTGATTCGGTTTCCGAGAAAAGTGATGGGAGCTGTGGGTGCAGCTATTCGTGTTCTTCTTCATCTTAATCTTCCTCTTTTCTTCTTCTTCTTTCTCCCAACATCATACCGATGTCCTCGTGGCTCATTGTTGCGACCATCCTTCATCCATTCTCTGCTGCAAAGCGCGAGTTTTGGGGGCGGGGTTTGCCCTTTGAGGCGTAAGAAAAAAACGATTGGACCTATTATCGAATTTTGCCCGAAGGAACTCTCGCCCATCTAGATGAGAAGGCGCAAGGCGCCTGTCCTGCCTGCATGTACATCAACATGATTTGATGTTGACTTCACTCTCCCTCGCTCTGCAAAAAGAGCCTCGACACGCGAAAAGTGGAAAGCGGCACTGCGTGGGACTATTCCCGTTCAGGGCACGTCAACAACCCTCGACCGCCAAGTCCCCACCATGTGTTAGGGAGTCGAGTGTCTGAGTTGGCTGGATCAAGTGTGTACATGGAGGTAGGAGATGGCGTTGACAAGAGACCGTTTCTCCTCCAGGGCTCTCTTGTTTTATTCCAGCTTGTTGCAACTGATTCATTGTTATTTCATTATCATCCTAATTATGATTTTCTGAGCCGGAACCCGTCCTCTAGCTTGCTATTTTTATCAGACCCCATCTCTCCTTTGCACCTCTGCCGTGGACTTGTCCAATTTGTGAATTTCCTTTTTCATGGCTATGCCTTGCTTCCGTGCTTGCGTTCCAGTACGACCACCGAAACATGAGGTTGAGCTAGCATTATCAAGGAACGAAGATAAAACGCGTGGAGGATTCT